AGGAATATGATTCAGGATATGTATACAATAGATACTACATTTATTACCTGGTATGTGGACAGAGGGACAGTTGTAGAAATATTCAGAAAAGAGGTTGGCATTAAGTGTGGCACTCATGAGAATAATCTTCAGGTCTGGTCTCTGCAGAATCAGGTCTTTGAGCACCAGCAGCAGGAAGTCACTGATAAAAAAGGAGGATATGACGGAAAGACAAGAAAGTGAGAAAGAAACCAGCCATTAAAAAAGTGAATTCGAGAAGGGATCAACTTTATTTCTAAAGCTGTGAAGTAAGGAGCATGAATGCACACTTTCTGCACCACACTCTACATGAATGATCTGCACCATCTCACCTCTCCTCTGTGCGCTCGTGTACCTCATCCACAATCACGTGTGTGACTCCTTTGAGGTCTGCCTCACTCTCAAGTCTCCTCAGTAACACGCCTGTAGTGCAGTACAGCAGTCTGGTGGCAGACGTCTGACAGAAAAGAAAATTTTATGATATAAAGCTTGGTTACATACACTTAGGCTTCATTAGTGATTTCAAAATGTCATATTCAGGGGCTTTTAGAGAATTAAAGTTGAATTTTATTCTGAATCATTTGGACACTATGACTAAAAGCTGGCAGCTTAATTTATTCCATATATTGAATGTGTATGTTGAATGTGCCCATACCCTGACACACTCCAGGCGGATCTGATATCCAACTGAGTTACCCAGACACTCTGCACGTTCCTGTGCCACTCTCTGAGCCACAGAAATGGCAGAAATGCGGCGTGGTTGGGTACAGATAATGTTGGCCACCTGCTGCGCCGGACCACCTAATGAGGCGTCCAGAATGAACTGAGGGATCTGGGTGGTCTTACCACACCTGCAGAGAAGTAAACAGAAAATAAAAATTGAATAGAATTATATAGATAGTCAGGAATAGAATGTATTTTTTAAAAATATTGGGCTTCTGATGCTGTAAAACAGAAAAAAAGCAACAAAAGAATATTTGCATTGTTTTTAAACATCGAAAGGAAAAACAACTTAAGTCAGGTTAGAGTACATGAAGCCACTTACAATTTTCCATACATCCTTGTACATACAAAACACCATGCTACTGAGCAGTAGCTATTCAGGTCTCATTTCAGTTTTATCTTTCCTTCAATCAAACCAAATCAAGTTTGTATAATAAGTATTTCCTCTATTTGAGTCTTTGTTGATACCAATGCTTGCGGTTTCTCTGTGTAACTCACCCTGTCATCCCGCTGACCACAAGCACCTGACACTGGTCTAACAGGTCTAGGATGTTCTCTTTTTCTTGCCAAGCCGGCAGGTTCTTCCTCTGATCCAGCATGGACCTGAAGCGCCTGGATGACTGGGTGAAGACAAAAATGAAATAACAGCAATTCATCACAATATATACATAGAGTTGGAAAGGATGTAGAGTGAGAAAATGTTAAAACAGGATGTTTGATTTTTTTTTTTTTTTTTTTGTCAATCACAGCACTTCTCTTTTACCTTTTTCCTCTGGAACTCTCGGCACAGCTTGCCATTTTCTTGCAGTAGGTTGTCTATCTTCAGATTGTGCTTATTTACCATCTTCTTCCTCAGATTAACGTAACTCTCGCTCTCAACTGGAACAACCTCATCTTCATCATCTTCCTCTCTCTCATCCAGCTCCTCTGCCTCTCCCGTCTCTTTCACTTTAAAGACAGAGGTGATTGATTCAGTGCAGAAGCACATAAATACAACTCTAAGCTGTGTTTAATGAAAACAGACTATAAATAATCAATAAGTAAATAATCTTTTTGACTCACAATCCATGGGTCTCTGGTTGTTAGGTGGAGCAGTCCTTCTGCTGTTAGAGTGATTATTACTACTAGTCCTGCTTTCCTCTGCGGCATTGCTCCTCACACTCTTACTCTTTGCTATGGCGAGTGAGGGTGGAGTTGCCACCACAACAGCTGGCGGTGTGCTGTATTTGTGATGACTGACAGCCAGCAGTTCCTTCATGGTAGCTTCATCCTCACACAAAGTGATCAGAGTGTAAACAACAGGTTCGCTGCTCTTTGCTGCAGCAAGCGCCTCTCCAAATAATCGCTCAGTCAAGGTGAGCCTCACTGCAGCTCCGACATACTCGTCGTTGGTGCTGAAGGCAACTATTGGTGCCTGAAATGGGTAACGATTTCCTTTGGGGAAACGGACCTCTAGTTCATACTCAGGAGGAGAATAGCTGCTGAATCCAGGCTGGCTTGGACCCTTCAGGTCTGGGGAATCAGCCCCAGACCTCCCTTTGGTGGGAAGTTGGTGTTTAAACTTGCACTTGTCCCCAAAGCGGCAGCCTTGCCCTTTCAGGTAGAATCTGCAGACATCACGGATATTAACAGATCCTCCTCCACCTCGACTGCCAACTGCCCCACCTTTCTTGCTATTCTTGTCTGAGAGGAATGAGAGATCCAGGGTTACAGTCCAGACTGCATTAGCAATGCGTTCACTGAAGCGCTCACCATAAATGGCAGCTAGAGCCAAAGCTTCCTCCTGCCTCTGGCTCAAACACTCATCCATAGGCACCCCCTCGAGGCCGTCAGGGGAAACTGCTTTCTGGCCATAGCGCTCACTAAAAACCTGGTGGAGGAGTTGTTCCAAAGTGGCCCCGAATTCCCCGCCACCAGACTCCAGTGCCAGCTTACTGCGCTCCCTATCAAACCCAAACCTACAAAAAGGAAATGTGACAAAACAGATGGGGTAGAAGACAAGGTAAATATATACAAAGCTTAGTTGTTTAGGTTCCTGACAGCACAACAGTGAAAAAAAATAAACCCACTCAATTAATTTCAAATAAAAGTAAGATACCTACGTACCTACAAAATCCAAAATCTGTAATGAAAGAAAAGACAAATCTGAACATCACCTGCAGAGTTTCCCTATGGCAAATAAGGAGATGACAGGCTCAGGGGTTGGCCGTTCATCGTCAGACTCTGGCTCATATGATGGGCTGTCTGCTCTCTCCACAGGCTCATCATTAGTGGCCCAAAACTGGCCTTCATCACGGTGATCCAATTCATCATATTCCTCCTCATCCTCTTCTCCCCCCGAATAATCTGAACCTGATTCACTGAGGGAGAGAGGGAAGACTAGTTAAAAAAAACATGGGTAAAAAACATCACTTCATGAAAAAAATTTAATTTTCAAGCATTTGAATTAGCCTTTCTCAACAGACAAAGGGGTGCAGCCTATTCCATGCATGTTTACTAGAATGTACTTACTCATAGGGCTCATCAAAATCTGCAGTCTGCAGATCCCGCAACAGCTCTTTCAGTTGTTCTTGGTTCTCATTAGTCATGAAGATCCTCTGCAAGGGCATGGTGCTCACCTCCGACTTGATTCCCTCCCCTGACTTTGGGCACGTTCTGATCCTCGCCAGAGAACTTGGGAGAGCCTTACTGCTGCTTTTCCAATCGCTTCGGCCATGGCTATCTCGATGGCTATCTCGATGACTATCTCGATCCCTATCTCCCCTACCTCCTCTCCCTCCCCTCCCTCCCCTCCCTCTACCTCCATCCCTGCCACCAGCACGGCTGCCACCGCCTCGTCCTTTGCCAGGTCTGGAGACACAGCCAGGTAAACAGAGAGGAGAACAATGAGATGTAGGTGAGGAGATGAAATGAGGACAGTGTGATCATTTTTAATTTGATAATTCATTCTGCAATTATGAATTTATACCTGCTGGAACGAGAGGGTCCAAAATCAAGGCTGAAATCATCCCCATCATCCCACAGACCAGCTCCCCCTTTCCTACTTCCACCTCCACCCCCGCCTCCGCCTCTGCCTCCACCACCTCCACCTCCACCTCCACCTCCTCTTGACTTGTTAAATCTCCCCCCTCCTCTGTTGGGCTTCCCACCTCTTCTCCTTGCATTCATTTCTCTGTGAAAACATTTATGAACACTTTGATCACACATAATTTATTTTAAAGCAGTCTAGCTTCACACTATCAACACCAAAACGTAATGGATTACTTATAATACACTGCTGTAAAACTCGAGTATACTCACCTTCAATCACTGTCCTTTCATAGCAGCCAACAATCTGTGAATAGAGACATAAAATGCATTGTTTGAATAAATCCTCCCAACCCTGGGAGTATCCAATAATCCTGAATACGTCAGAGAGAGCTGCTAGCTGCGGACCCAGGCAAAGCAGGCAGCTACTGTACATCAACTGCAGAGCACAACAGTCGCACATAGCTGTCGGGTGGCACACCAGTTCAAGTGGGAGCAATGAGGTGGTGGCTGACACACAGCGCTGGTGGCTAGAATTATGCAATCAAACGAAGCACGCAGACGAATAACCAAACGACGGCAATGACCATTTTACTTGCCCGACTAGCTGACACTGTGTTTTATTAGGAAGTTATGAAAGAGCATTATATTGCTCGTTTTAGAAATAACGTCTTATTGTGTTGGGACTGATATCTGAGTCAGTTTCAAGTATGAAGCTTGAACTAGCTAGCAAGCTAGCAGGCTCACTCCTCACTTTTGAGTCATCAAGCTAGCGTTAGCTTAGTTGTGAAAGGCTTCCTCACAAGTCAGGTCGAGAGGTTAAATGATTAAGAACGCCACAAAAACAGAGTGAGCTAAATTATAACCGTTAAAGAATAAAAGTTGTTGAAAAACTTTACTTTCATAACAAGTGAGAACATACCTGAGACAGCTGTGCAAACCACCGGTAGCCTGCGTCTCTTTCATTGGTCAAAACTCGGAGTTCAAAGTTTCTCTTCCGGTGTCCGGAAATGTTAGAGGAAGAAAATGTGTAATATTTGGTAAATTTGATATTTAAAAGCAATATATTAAGATTATTGGAATAAATTAAATGTAACATATGTTGAGCTAAACTTTTTTTTTTTATATGAAAAAAACTCTTTTTTTAAACTAGGGCTGCACCAAAAATGTAACCATGGTAACGGCATGCGTCGGGCTGTTAGTACGACACAGACAGCGCAGTACCTGTTTTAGAGTAGACAGGACTGGTTATTTTTAGGGCAAATGAGTGAACAAAAATAGCATACCGTTGGCTTGTGTCCTTCCCACAACCTTTTAATTAGTTATTTGACTTTTTGCATCATAGAAATTGGCCAGTACACAACGTTTGTTGTCGGTTCTGGCAGCCATCTGCCAGCTGGGGGAAGCTGTCACGGATGTCTGGTGGGGTGTGATTATGAAGATTTCATTTCTAACACTCAAGGACACACACATCTTCTTATGTCTTTCCTATCTGCTATCTAAATTTGTTTCCTTTTCACTTTCAGACAACAAGGAAAGGAATTCTTTTAATCTTCATGGTAAATATCCGTGTTGGAAAAATTAGCATCTGACAATTAAGGTGCTTGAGGTAAATATGTCTGTTTGTTTGCAGGAGAACAATCTATAAATGCATCCTACATTTTCCCAACTGGGGAAAGATATGGTGAGTGTTAACTGATGATACAGTTGAACATTACATTACACATCACATTAGGTCTGTGACAACATCTCCTCTGCCCACAGAGGGGGAGTGCAGCAGATCTGCATCTGGAGAACTGATGAGGAGTGGTGTTGGTAAACACACCTCAGCAGATGGGATCATATACACTGGCGAGTGGCATCAGGACAAGGTATGCATTAACTATATGTCTAAATGCTCATCTGAAGTCTATGACTAAGGCCTGGATGATTGTAATTTCTCTGCAGTTAGTCATGGTTGTTCTCTGTCTCCCTCTGTCCCTTCTCCCAGATGCATGGTAGAGGGACCTTGCAGCATCCTTCTGGAGCACTATATGAAGGAGAATTCAAAGACAACATGTACCATGGCACGGGAACATATACATTCCCAGACGGCTCTACTTACAAAGGTCACTTTAGCAAGAACAGGTAAAAATCTATCAATATTTGGAACTTACTGTGTCATTCCTGTAATGCTTTCTGAAAAGAGCTAACCCTAGTAAGAGTTTTCATATGATTATACTGCAGTTTAGTGCTATTTTATGTGCATGTGCATGTGTTTCAGATCAGCCCTCTTTTATGATCAGAATAGAGCAGCAGCAGTGAGGCTCAGAACTGTTGTACATTAGTCAATGAATCAGAAAGTCATCCAACACATAATTAATCAGTGACTGTTTTGATAATAAATTTGAGCTTTGGTTTTATTTTGTGTCTTATGCGATACTAAATCAATCATTCTGCATAATTTTTCACTATTTGTGATGATTTATCAAGAAAAATAATCAGTAGAGTGATAGATAGTGACAGTTAACATTAGTTATGGCTTTTGGCATTGTTTTTTATTATTGTTTTGGCAGCACAGTTATATCAAATATAAGATTTTAGATGTCTTACCTGATGTGTATTTCCAGATTGGAGGGAGAAGGGGCTTTCACTAACACAGAAGGACTGGTTTGGACGGGAGAGTTTCATGGCAAAGCCGCACTGGGCCTGAAAATGCAGCACAGCATTTCGGCAAAACCAACATTATAGTAATGTAGTGTATAAAACATCGGATCATACTGTATATTCTACATCTAACTGAAGTGTATTAGAGAAGGATTTTTTTTTCACTTTGGGCCTTGTGTTCTACACAATTCCTTCTTTACCTGTGATAAATTTATTGTACTACTGACAGATAGACCTGTGTTTCTGCTCAACACTATCAAGATCGCACATCCTCGTATTTCTGTGTATTGGTGGTTAGATATCAGTGTCATGTTTCTTGCTCTGAGTCACTCTCTCAGTTGTATCTCCTGCTTTCCTGGTGGCGGTGCTCCGATACAGAAAGTGTCTCTTTGTGTGTGCTTCGTTTCACTCATGAAATATCACACATGGGTTATTTTCTCTGGCCTTTTGTCACTATGCTTTTATGCAGCCGTGAGCGGAGAGGTGAAATTACAAGGTACATGACTCTAAAATAAATCCAGGAATATTAATGTTAGTTTTGCACCAGTTACTTCATCGCACACATTAACTTGGTTACTCAAGTGGAAAAAAAAAAAACCTGCGTAAACCCTTTTGACATTTTTCATTTTTCCCTGGTTATACTGTATCATGACTGTGAGGGTGAAGGATGGGTGCAGGGCACTTTACATCATTACACCACCAGCCAATCGCTGAGGGGCATATGCTCACATCCCCATCCAACAGCTGTACCCGAGCCGTTGGCCAGAGGAAGTGTGTGACTTGATGAGTGTGTGTGGTCAGTCTGACCTTCAGTGTTTGAGTCTGTGTGTGTGTGTGTGTGTGTGTGTGTGTGTGTGTAAACAGCTTTGTGTGTGTATTAGCTCTCCACTCGCTGTCACCCTGCACAACTCTCTCAGTTAATAAATAATTACTTCTCAAACAATCACAATTGTTCAACATTGTTTAATAAGCAACTCTGATATTGTAATTTGTCATTCTATTTAATAATGCCTCTATGGATCTGTAATTGCACATACCCCTGAACAAATTCAGTATTGAGTATTTATCTATACTATACAGATATGGAAATGTGTGTAAGAAAAACACATATATACTGTAGTAACATCCATACAATGCTAAACACTTCTGGTAAAATACTATACCAGATACAAGAAAACAGCAATTTTCATTGATTGTACAATTTTCAGGTAGAAAATAACATTTCTGTATTGCAAACCTTTAGTGGCGATTTGAATGAAAAACCTTGAATATGATCATGGAGGCAACAACAATGAAATAAAAATAGAAAATGGCACTCAAATTTGGCACAAGATACCAAAAATACATCTGAACTTGAAATGCAACTGACATAAATACCAACAAGTTATTGTGTTTAGTGACAATGTGCAGTCTATGCAGGAAATGTTTCGTGCTTCATGTGTTATGTTAGTATAAGAATGTGACGATCAATGTGAATTCACCACTACAGGTAGTGAGCTAGATGATGGGAAGGAAGCTTTCAAAACTGTTGCAATATATTATCTCCATAAACCTGAGAATCTATAAAGTATACAATAATATTTTTAAACATTTCACCTTCCTGAAGAAGAAAAAATAAATAAAATCCCTTGTAATGCAGAACACTGACTTTAAGATAAAAAAGTACATCTTCTAATTGTGCTGGAAACATCATTAGACAAAGAAAAGCCATTCCAAATACCATATTGAAGTGTGAACAGGTACTCAAAACAAAACAGTGGCCATGCACATTCCCACAGAGAAGCACGAGACTGAGTGTCAAAATTATTGTTCTATACAAAGATAATAGTTGACGGCTCTTGGCCCCTCGAGGCGAGTCAATAACAATCTGAATCAGTGATATGAAAAAAAAGATGACCATGCTTTTTTTTTTTTTGTGCTTCTTTGTGTGCTTCAGTAGAGACATTTCCAGGAAACCCTTCACTGCTCTCAACTCAGGTAGTAGGTAGTCGCAGGTAAAAGGAACGACAAGGTACAGCTGAAGACGAACTAGAAAAACAGCACCATTTTTGTGACAACTGTGGTTCTTCCAAGCAAGCGTGGCAAAGCGTTCGCCAAGGGCGCCACCTGGGAACTCAGCGCTTTACGTTTTGTGCTGTTGACTGGCAGATGGAGAACGTGTCAGCGGGTTGAAGCAAGGGAGTCAAAATGAACCTACTAACAGAACGCTGAGGTTCGAAACATGTACATGAATAAATCCTGGACAACATCAGCGATTAGTGATTCTGTGAGGTCGAAGATGATGACTTTTTCTGGAATAACAAGGATAGTTATAAGGTAAATTTTCTGTTTTAAAAGAGATCAAATAGGCAACTACTACCTTTCTCAGAATGCAGTTTCTTCAAGCAAATGCTGTTTGTTTTGTGCTCCAAAACCATCCTCTCCACATTTACCCATTTTTAGATAACCAGTTTTTCTTTCTGAGCATACATACTTATAACATCCACGAACAAACCATACACTTAGAGCTGGTATATTTCTCTTTTTGGTGCCTTTTTTTTTTGGGATGAAATAGCTCCAACATTTGTACTATCAGAATAACCCTGTGGTTTGCTTCCAAAAGGCCTTTTTTTTCTAGAAAATACATAAGAAAAACTTTCAAATCCATCACCGACAAACTACAACCCAATAGGCTCTGTGACAAAATTAAAAAAGGCATTAACTGATTAGAAATCATTTAAATTTACATCTTCTTTCAAAAAATCATGTATCATAAAATGCTTAAACTACACACATGGATAGAAATAAATAGGAAAACATCACCAAGGAGTCAAAAAGCACCAACATTTTATAAAGGGGGACATACAGTAGAAACTGAACTTTTGTGTTGTTGTGTAACATGGGGGGGGGGCAGTATAACTGGCCACAACAGTCTCCTGCTACAGTGATACAAGATGTTTCTGCTACCTCTGTTCTTGTCTGTCACCTCCATGTGTGTTCACAGTAGTCATAGGCACATGTTAGTGTCAAGTGTGTGTGTGTGTGTGTGTGTGTGTGTGTGTGTGTGTGTTTGTGTGAGTGTGTTTGTGTGTGCGTGTGTGTGTGTGGCATCTATTTGTGCCGAGCTCACAGTAGGAAGCTCCATTTGCTCGTCAACTTTGCGTCATACTCAATCTCCTCCCATCACTGCCTGACCTGGGAGGTGACTTCTCCATCTCCAGTCTCTTTTTTTTTTACTTTACCCCCCCCCCCCACCTCCCCCCATTCCCAAACCCCCATTCCTCCCTCCTGTTCTCCTTGTACTCCATTTTTGCAGTAGCGCCACACCCTAAAACCACCCCAAGCTCACATGTGACCTCTCCTCTGTCACCCCCCCCCTCTCTCTCTCCCTCCCCTCCATCACGGATTCTGCAGCAGCCCCTCCCACTGGATCGGCTGGGAGAACACCTCTCTCTCCAGCCACATCTCGTAGCTGTAGTGGAAGTCCTCGGGTAGATCCACGCGCTGGCCCAGCACACTCTGCAGGCAGTTGTCCACGGGCGTGAAGTCCCCATTCTTATTCTTGTCGTAGCGGCGGCTGTTGAACTTCTCGATGCTCTCACGCAGGGCGCACTCCTCCGCCTGGAAGTCCCAGGGTCGAGCATCAATATCTGGGACGAGAGGAGGGAATATTTAATCAATCGCAAAGACACTTTTTTCTATGTATGCTTGAATGTTCACACTTATGCCTTTCACCTCATAAGTTAAATGTAAAAAACCTAATTTTTCTCAGCAATGACGCAAAACCTAACACACCTCCCACCTCTTATCATTCCTCCCCTCCTCTCCCTCTCTTTGCTCCTACCATCCCATCTATCCTCTCTAACACTTGTGGCGACAGATCACTTGCTCTCCCGCAAGGGACCGTGACCCTGAAAAGTCCCCCTGTTCTCTGTTGCTATGGCAATGCAATCCTGCTTGCCAGTGGCTGTTGGAGCATTGTATTTCTCACAAACACACACACACACACACACACACACACACACACACACACACACACACACACACACACACACAAACCATAGACAGATACATAAACACACATGTACACATCCACCATTAATTGTACAATTAGCATGTATTGACCTGAAATGTTCACACAGCTTTGGGATGTCTTTGTTCTACTAATCAGCTGTGTGTGTGAAGGCGGAGGAGGACTGCTGGGACTAATTATTACCATGACCACTTCATTTATGAAGACCTGAGAGGCTGAATGGATTTATGGCTCCAGGTGAATGATGATTAAGGGCCAGATTGCATTCTGCAGATTATCCTTAAATCTATTGATCATCGAACCTACTCTAATTCAGTTTATGCATTAATTGTTCCTGTTTATTTCATCATTTCAATATTTACTATGTTCCTTTTTTCATTTCTCAGTTAATTCATTAGTCATGGTTTAAACTGCATACTCTGTGTACTATGAATTAATGACTATGGCTTTATCAAATGCTAAAACTTCTGTTAAGGTAAAAAAAAACATAGAAGCTGCTGTGGATATTTAATCAGTAAATGTCCGTAATGCACAAAAAGTCCAAATCAAAACTTAAAAGAAAAATTAAAGTGAGGCACAATCTGTAATAAAGTGTAGCAACGCACTAACTGACTCATGTTGGATGTGAATCACCATCTCTACAGTGACAAAACAGTTCTTTATCAGCTCACCTTAAACCAAACTGAACGGTTTAAATAGTTTAAATAATCGTTACCATTTCCATAGGCCCAGTCGTCATTGAGTCTGTGGCGGACTTTCTGGTAGATGGCTGACATGGTCTTCATGTTGCTCTTCCTCCACTGGCGGCCCAAGTACTTGGTCTGGATCTTAAGCAGCTTGAGAACGTAGAGCTGCATCATGGCCTGTTTCACCTTCAAAGCTCTCTTCAGGATGGGGGCGGACTTGAACACCACCAGCATCTGGCAAGGAATTGGGAATAAAGAGGGGACGTCTGTTTAAGCATGCTGTGGCCGACCAAAGGCTTGTTACAAACAAAACATCCATCCATAGCAGAAACATTTGTTTTACAGTCCTCCTTGGTTTTTTCTCTTCACACTGACCTTAAAAACAAGATTTTTTTAGACTCAAAACTTCATTCAAACGATCATATTGCATCACAAGACACATTAGGATGGAAACTTTTTTTTTTTTTTTTTTTTTTTTTACAGTGGAACAAGATGAAAATTTCACCCCAATGCTTCAAGGCCTTGCTGTGATTCAGGATTACTCACCATGGTCCTGGAGTGTTTCCACTTGGTCAGCTTGTTCAGGATTCTCAGCAGGTTGATACAAGAGAACAGGTTCCTCCAGCAGAATTGGTTGCTGTCTCCTGCCTCCTGAAAACACACACACACACACACACATAAAGTGAAGTGATAATGATATTTCGAAGACTACATTCCTACTTGGTACTTCTTCATACATTACGGATCAATCAGGCGTTTTCACTCACCAAGCTCTCAGCTGTGAGCTCAGGCATCTCATGCACCACACAGTGGGGAAAGTCCAGCACACAGATACTGCGATGAAAACACACACAAACACACAAGAAGCACGTTACAGATCAACTCATCATTTTATATACTCTATACATACATTTTTTGATTGTTTAATGCTGCATCAAATTACATGTATTCATAATTTGTACAGTCCAGTTTTACAGTCTGCACATAAGCCAAACAGACTGACTCGATCCTGTCTCCTTTCACCTGCTTTGTAGCGTCATGTTTTGTTTTTTTTTTCTTTCACACCTGAGTTTCCTGTCACTGCATTGCTGCTGTGAGGCCATCTGTTCCACCTCCTGAAAGTCACACCCATAATGCCAGGCTACCTATTTTGTACTCTCAAAAACACAGTGTCCAATTTTTCCTTTGAGAAATTTTACACTCGGTGTAGAGTGCTTTCAGTGGGAATAGGAGCATACAGCAGTGTGTTTTCTTTGGTGGGACATTGAGAAATAAACTGTGCTATTAAGAGAGGCCGCCAATTTAAACATAGTCTTGACCTAGTGTTAGAGCTTATTTGTGTCAAACTAAGCCTGCCGTGTGTTGATTTTTAGTGCAAGAGAAAAGGATCCTACCTGTTTTTGGCACTGATGTAGGACATGATGTTCTGGTTGAAGAACTTGAGGATGAGTGGGATACAGTTGGCAAACACCAGGTGCTGGGACACAATCTCAAACTGCAGGAATAGAGGAGGCGGCAGTGTGAAAGAGTTAGAGAGTTTGACAGCCTGGAAAAGAGCGCCGCCTAAAAATGTAACTTGATCACAAGTCTGATTTTATCCTTTGGTCTTACAAAAAATAACTTATTTCATAGTCACGAAGCAGTTTTTAGATGTTGTAAAAGGCACAGTAAAGGACAGACAGATGACGGTGTCAGTGGAACAGACAAAAAAAAAATCCATATCTCTAGAAATAAGGGAAAAAAATAATCCTTTAGCCAATAATCCTGTATCATTGATGAGTTTCCTTTGTGGGGAAAAGGTCAAGAACCAGGATATTTTTATCCTCGTGTGGCAGCAATATAAATCCTTCACCTCATCCAAGAAGATTAAGACCAGGAGCGATTCTGCTGCTGAAACTCTCGTGAGCTCATATTTCAGTATTTTATTGACTGTGGTTATTTAAAATGTGCTGTATTTTTGCCTTATTTTCTAGATGCAATGATTCCTGACTAACTAATTTATCCTTAAAATCAGCTGTTATAATACAGCGTTAGTGTGGAGGTCAAATAATGTACAAGACTAATCGATATGACTTCCCACTACAGCTGCATTCTGCTAATGCGTCGAAATGTAATCTCCTTTTGTGGCAGCAGAGGGCGCTACCACTGCAACTGTAAAGCGCAGCCAATTAAAACAGTGTGATGGAATGTCCCTTCCTAGCAATAGAAAATATCCCCAGCCCACTGAACCAAAGTACTGCTGATAGTAGAAATAAAACAAGATATTGAGCAGCTGAATTCAGGCCAAATCCTCCTTAAAAAAAGAGCAGATTTTAGACCACATGCTCTCTTTCGACCTCTCTCCATTTCCTGTATCCACTGAGACGGACAGAGCTCCATCTGTGAGTCTACAAGGCTGATGCAGGTTGTGAGGTGTGAGGAGGAGGGGTCCAAAGGTGGGGGGAGGAGGAGGAGGATGAAAGGAGGAAAGTAATGGCAACCTTGACCGGATAATCAGGTGGAGGATAGTGGGGGAGGTGCATGGTTATTAGTGTATGTGTGCACTGGTGGTGGGGGACAAGGTGGATAAAGAGAAGAAAAATGAAAGAAGCGAGAACGACGGTAATGCGACGTGCCTGTAGGAGGGAAGACTGAAGGTGTGTATGGTCTGTGTGTGTGTGTAACCTGATAGATATGGTTGAGCTTGAAGTGCTTGAGCAGCAGCAGCAGCAGAGCAGAGATGGCCTTGACGATGATTTCCTTGTGACGGTTCACGTCAATTCCCAGCTTCATACTCTGAAGGACTGTGATACTGGAGGACACACACACACACACACACACACACACACACACATATATTGTAAGGCCTTCAAGTCTGTAATAATACAGCTGTGTCTCAATAAGAGAAAAAAACATAGGCATTAAGAGACAGACTCTTCACTCCCCTTTGAAAACAAGCAGATATTTTCATTAGTCCGTTGCTGATGCATCAGAGGTTTTTCCAGCTGGTGTAGAATTTCAAGTCATATGAATTTCAGTCATGAAAATGTCAGACAGGGTTGTGAATCTTTTGGTGGTTTTTATTCTTTTCTCAACAGGGAAACTGTCAGTGTCATCTGCTCTAAAGCTGGACGCTCCTGTAGACCTAAATCAACCCATAATAAGTGTATTTCTGAGAGTATTTCATCAACCCAGAAAAATCTTATGTGAACATCTGTAGCTTCAGTTTGAAGATGCTCAATAAACAGCACATGTAAAAGGCGGTGACACTGACAGCATACAGGTGTACTGTATGTGGCTCTGCAGCTTTAAGAAATGCAGCGGTCTTTCCACAGTACTTACGGCATCTCCTCGGGCAGCACATCAGCCAGGATGTTGATAGAGTCCGTTTTGGCTTTGGAGGTGGGAGCTGCGGCCAGCAGCAGCTTCAGGAGGGCAATCTGACACAGAAAAATAACAATGTAAAACATTACACCTAGACACAGCTTGAAACATGTATTTAAATTTAAATTTAACTGAATTAACTGCAACGTTTTACTAAAGTTTGTCTGAATTCAGCACGTTTTGGAACATTGCAACATTATTTTGCTGGATAAAAACACATTTTATAGCAGATAAGTGTGATGTAGTGTGTTTCCATGGTTAAATGGAAAATTCCATATGCTGTTCTGGGTGGTGACCACATCAAACAAAGAGCAATAATGCCAAAATAAATAATATCAGAAGTGCTAGTATCATGAGCTACTCACCACATACTGGGAAAGGTTAGGAAGCATGCCCAGGTACAACATCTCTGCTGGTGTCTCCTCCACCTCCTCCTCACCCTGTAAACACAACACAACACAACACACATGACCTTTCAGACACAAACAAAAGAGCATTTTTTTGTAGTCTGATGAAATATTTGTCACTTTAAATATTCTGTTTATGTTATGTGTGGTTTTGATTAGCTCACTAGAGAAACATTCAATTCTTTAATTTAAGATAAAACATAAACACACGTGTATATATACTGTATACAGGCCCATATATATATATATATATATATATATATATATATACTGTTTGGTTGGTAACATTACTGACCAGAGTCATTGGACACTGTTGTAGCTCCTCCTCCTTCTTGATCTGGACTTCGGCAATAGACACATATTTGTGCTAGAGAAGAAAAACAAAGACAAATTACTGTTAATAAAAGTAAAAGATAAAGTGTTAATTAGCATGGCTAACTGACAACCAAGGGTATATTCCTCTGTGTAACTACACTTTTCAGTCTGTTTAAACAGGAGCTATAGATTTTTGAGTGGGATGCCAGTGTCAGGGGATTCAGCAGCGAGGGAGTATTGATTAAGAGACCGTAATGAGCCAATGCAAAGACGAACTAGAATTACAGCCTCACGGTCACATGCCTCCAAACAAGTTGCAGGAAATATGGTCACAAGCTCAACTTCCTGAGTTACAGCATTGAATAATGGCCAGAATGTTTGTGCCAGATGTGAAGAAATTCCCTCAAGAAGTTACTTAGATATTGCGTTCACGAGAATGGGACAGACAGCCCAAAAACATCATGCCTCTGGCCCTGGCTGTCGCCATCATGGTGGCATAATAATAAAGTGGATGAGGACGATTGTAAATGGGAATCTGTGTATTAGTTCTTAAAAGAGTCAAAAATATAGAGAGAATGAGATGCTACATCAGTGATTTCCTCGCTCACCTGTTTAAGAGTCTTGACACTCTCGTGGATGGGTCTGGGCAAGCCAACCAAGGTCTCTGTGTCACTACAAAACAATGAACAGTTACACCAGACTGAAAGAGGAAAACATTTTAAAAAATATTAAGAGGTCTTATTGTATCAGATGAGATACCCACTTTCCCAGAGTAAAGCCGATGAATTTGTTTCTACTGGTCTCTAGGAAGTGCTCGATGTCTTTCTCCCTGTGAATAGACAGGCAGGCTGCAGTCAGATTTTAGATTCGTCTAAGGTTGCCACAATTGTGTTTCCGAACAGGCAACAAATCAGCTGTTTTTCAAGGGAGCACTCATGTGCACACACCCACGCAAACACACACATTAGCTTTCTCAAATCTCATCAGTCACACTGCGTGCAAAAGGTTCACAACCTTCTTCTGCTCCTATGTTGCAGCACTGTGAACCAAAGACATGGAAATAAACACACTTAATGATAAGGTTCGCTCAAGGAGAAACGGAATATAGGTTTGCTGATACTGAATGCATTATAAATGCAATGCTATAAAGTCTTTGTGTCCTCTCTCAGATGCATTATTCATGTCCCAAAGCAGCAGCCACAGCACCCCGGAGAGACACACAGGCTACTGTCTGGAAAACACAGATGGAGAGCATATTGCTGGATGATAATAAGAAAGAAAACTGAGATATATATATATTTTTTATATTTAGTTTTAACTTTTAACTCAAATGATGGCACAGAATCAGGGTGGGAAACTGACACTAGCTGCCAGCCAAATGGTGTTAATCCTGGCTGTGGGTGGGAAGTTTTCTCTACTGTAGTGGTCAAAATGGCAGGCGGCCAACCATCATTTGGAGTATTTATTCTGTGGAATAAAAGCTAAATGCTGTTAAACCAATGAAAAGTCAGCTAGGGATCATCTTTAGTAGTCACAGTAATGAATACCTGTATTATTTTTCATAGAAAGGTCTCACAGAAGCTGTTTTTAATGCCATTTTGTGTGCTGTAACACTTTCAGGCCTATGTATGGATATAATCAGCGTAATTTATCCTGAATTAAGGGAGAAATAAAACTGTAAGAGGGCACTTTAAAGCACTTTTTCAAACTTTGGGAACAGGTGTATATCTGTAACCTTGCCTTACCTTGTCTAAATACTTGCTGCCTAAAGCTAAATAAGAAACAAAAACTGAGCAATTAACCTGACTTTAGGGGCCCAGGGGAGGCCCTTGGGGAAGTTGACCCTCTCTGTCGGAGGTCTCAAAGGAGGCGGTGGTGGTGGAGGCTGGATGATGACATCCCGGTCCAGGGGGTCCACCTCGCCCTCGATGCCGCTGTCCGTGTCCTCGGGGTCCTCCTCCTCATCCCGGGCATCGTCGTTTTTGAAGGGGTCCCGTTCGTTGTACGTGTCGAGGCTGTCCTGCTTAACCAGGGGCTGGGAGAGAGAGAGAGAGGGCGGGTGTTTAGCATGAGACTGAGTAACTAACACCATCCTATATTTTAAAATGTTCTTAAATACCAGCAGCAAAATTGTAAATCTGTGTAATAACGTGTAACTTGTAATAACTAATAACTAAAATCCAACACACACACTTTACCTGATAGCTTTGGCAGTATATAAGCTTTAATTCTTCAACAAGCTAACTCATGCTGTTAGCTTGTTTGCACATTGAGAATAAAATGATGTACCAGACGTAGAAATTTCCATTTGATAGAGTAATGAATGGTTAATTTTAACACCTTAAAACCTACTTTCGGACAAAACAGGTATGTTAAAAGGTTAATGTTCTTGGAAAGCTTTAAACATCACTATACTGACGATTCAGGAAAAGGCCATGTCCATTATTTTGAAGAGGTCAAGTTAAAGGAGAGAACTGGTTTTATTTTGAGTTATGGATAATATACTGGTGTCTACATCTAGTTTTCCTCATTATATTTCATTTTACAATGCATTATATATAAAGTAAGATTTTTTTATCCCAAGTGCAATGACTGTCTGATGACAACAACAGGAATAATGTAAAGCAAAAACAGATAGAGTAAGCTACATTCAGACCTCAGGTAGACTCTAAGTTGCCCAGACAGAATTTTCATTCCTTCAGGTAACACTGGTGTGTTTTTAATAACAATGCAAAGTGAAAAAAAAATTATTTCATCTGGCATTTTCAATCTAGACATGTGCCAGTTTCATATGTCGTCATTTCATCTGGATGCATACAATATCAAATTTGTATGTCAACAGTAATAATGCACAAGTCAGATGCGTTTCTTGCAGACAAAGCATTACAGAAAGCTGCTGACATGGTTAATTCTGTTATATCACATATTGACCAGAATGAAAACATACCATGTACAGCCTAAGAAATAATAAAAGCAATAAGTTTTGCAGTGTGAGTGATTCCCAAATGACTCACACAAACATAAAAAGGAAACACTGGTCTCATTATTTGACAATTATTTGACATTTTGGTAAATGTATTTTTTCCCTATTGGAATAAAATAAAATAAGATGAGAAGATAAGACTGATACTTCTGTCATATCTGTCAGTTAAAAGGTATTGCATACCTAAAAAGGTGTTTTTAATAACCAAGGCTGACTAGACCTCTGGCAAAGTGCAAGTTTAAGTAAAGAATTACATGTCACCAAACCTAAGGTTATGATAAAGGTTGCGAGGTGCAACAAAACTAACAGGCAGATGACGATATGTCATTTGAGGATTGTACACAGCCACACACTCCTGAGACGAGGCTTAATTAAACAACATAAATGAAAACACCTGTGTGGGTGTTTGCTTTAGGTGTGCAGTTTTTCATTTTTATAATTGAAGCTACAGCAGACAGTTATCTTAGCTTAGCATAATAACTGGAAAAAGTGAGAAACAGTTAGCCTGACTTTGTCCACAAGACAAATTAACATGTTACATTTTGAGGTGCTGTTCGGTACATTTTTAACCTCTGGATAGTGCAAGGCTAGCTGTTTCCCCCTGCTACAAGTCCTTACGCTAAACTAAGCTAACTGTCTCTTTGCTGTACCTTCATATTTAATTTAGCTTTATATTATCCGCCAACTTGATGGTAGGTTGATTTTTTTCAACCTTTGGACAGAGCCATTTTAACCACCCAGCTATTTCCCCCTGCTTTCAGTCTTTACATTAAGCTAAGCTAACCGGCTGCTGGCTGTAGCTTCATATTTATCACACGGACATGAGAGTGATATAAATCTTCACCTAACTCTAACATCTAAGTGAAGAAATATATTTTCCCAAATCTTCTCTTTTCTTTTGTCTTGTAAAGTCCCCTGTCATGTTGAAAACCACTGGATTACCAAACTCCAGAAAAGACAGCTAAAGTCAATGTCAAATTTACTTAAAGTGGGACAAAAACACAACTTTCCACAGCAACTGCAAGCAACTTACCACACAATTGCACTTCAAAAGATACAGGCAGAAAAATGCAAGCAAGACCCAATAAGGCTAAGACTTCATATTTAGCTCTTATCTGCAAACAATCCCATTTCAGTTCAAGTGCGAATCACACTTTGACACACATACACACACAGTATCTCAGTTCAAACAAATTCTCTAATGAATGACTGTGGCAATAGTGCAAGCATCAGGCATGAGTCAGCGTTCTAGACATTAGTTGAGCTAGTGCAGTTGATGTATGGTGCGTCAGTGGTAGTACTAATGCTGGACTACGTGAAGAGTAGAGTGAGTGTATGGTGAAGTGGAGGGAGGGAGGGAGAGAGGAGGAGAAACTGTGTCGTGAGCCATTCTCTATGGAGAAGCCATTCTCTGCTATGTGGGACATAAAGCTATTGTTTTTCTACCAGGGTTAGGGGGCAACTGCTTTCAATGACATCCATTTAAGAGAGAGGTCAAGTGAAACCCAAGTACAACACCTACAGAAGTAAAACTATGTCGATAGCGATCTCAGTTCACCTCCTCAATGAATGCATTTTCATGACATTGACCCCTAGTCCAGATTCTACAGTGCAAGGTGATTTTTGAGGCCAAACCCAGTAGCAATGTGATGAAACTACAGGGAAGATGCTACTACTGTAGATGTCTGAAGTGACTGTCTTTATGGGATAGTGGATAGTGACCGCTCCAGCGCCAATGACAACAGCCAGCAAGTCAGCCCTGTCTCTCAAACCCCACACCCCCGAACTGAGCAGGCCACAGTGGAGGAGGAGGAGGAGGAGAGAGGAGGAAGAAATAGGGTATGAAGAAGAGGGGAGGGGCAGTATGTGGTGGCGGTGTTAGTTGATGGTGGAGAAAGAGGCGGAGAGGAGAATGGTGGAGTAAGCACAGAAAGGAAGTTGAGAAAGTAGAAACACAGGGAGGAAAAAGAAGAGGTGAGCAGGAAGAGCAAAAGGACGAAGAGGAAAAAGAGAAAGAAATAGGAAAGGGATTAGGAGAAGGTGGAAGAACAGAGGAGGAAATGAAGGATGTCAGGAGGGTAACAATAACGTTTAAAAAAAATGTCAATGGGAATGGAGGAAACAGACATGGCAAAAATAATTAAAAAGATAGGTGTAAAAGAAAGATAAGTCAGAGTAAAGGAAAGAGAAATATAGGACAGACAAAAAGGAAAGTGAAACAAATATGCAGGTGGAGGCAATTAAGTGGAATTGAAGCAAAGACCAAGGCTGCACCAAGAACATCCTTTTCTTTGTAGATACAAATCAGAATTAAATCAACATGTGAAAATGGTAAAATATAGTTAAATAGTTCTGGTGCATCCCAACATGTGCGGATGAGGTTAAATGACGGGAGAAGGAAGATGAGGAGAGAAAGAAAAAAGGAAGAAGGAGAAAGAAAGGCAGGGGGAGAGAGAAAAAAGACAGCAAAAAGAAGGTGGCAGGGATGTGGGAGAGGAGTGCAAAAAGTCCAGCGCAATGCAGAGAGAAAATGCAGAAGGAAAAGAGGGAATTCGTGGGTAAAGACCTGCTTCTTGGTAAAGGGACTGTCTCCTTCCAAGCTATCAACAAAGGCACTCTGTGGGGACACAAGGAAGAGGGGCAATAAGAAACCACAGGGCAGTTAGAGAGAGAGAGAGAGAGAGAGGGAGAGAGAGAGAGAGAGAGAGAGAGCCTGTCCTGTCAAAGCTCTACAAAAAATCAAAGGGCTGGGATTCCCAAAGCCGTCACAGCACCAAGATCATCTGTAGTCACTGACCTACAACAGGGAACTGATGATGTTGGCACTAAAGCACTTTTAGAAAACCCGACCCAGCAAAGAGCATGAGTTACAGAGGGAAATCCATAGATCCACTTTAGAAAACAGATGAAACTGTTCAAGGATAAGAAATGGAAACATGAGCCGAGTTAGCATTTATAAGGCCATGTTAGTAATACAGTTCAGTTATACTGTAGGGTTATAGGTACCAAACACACATTTACATTCTATGTTACTGAGATAAATAAACAGCTGGCACAACACTGGGACTATGTGAGAGACTGCATTGGTAAGTGTGTGTGTGTGTTTGTCTTTTGGCTACAGAAATACTGTGAAGACTCTAAAGCCCTGACATTCACACCTGTTTTTGACTATGCAGCTTTCAATGAATGTGTGTGAATTTGAAGAGAAGCTCTTTCATGTGAGGGATCAAAGCGGAAGTAAAATATAAGGTGTAACTTTAAAAATAGCACATATTTTATCCATTTAACACTACTGGTACACTGTAAATGTGTTTGTGTGTGGAAGATGGGTGGGTGGGGGGGCTGTACCCTGCGGCTGCGGCGGCCCCTCTTTTGCTGCTGCTGCTGTTCGATGAGCTCCATGGCGGAGGCCGGGGGAGAGGCTGCTCTCATGGCTCTAACCACCTTGATGCTGTCCTCCGGTAGTGGAGGCAGGTTGAAACGCTCTCTGCCCCGCACCTTCATCTCCTGGAGCTCCTCGAAACCCCCCAAGGTGAACTGGAGGAAGACAGAAACACAACAATGTACAGGCTTATGTAGAGTGAATCATGTACATAGGAGAGGCACAAGGGTGGGAAATGTAATGCAGTGGAAAGTACAGGATATAAAAGTTCATACATGTAGTTTGTGCCTCTTGTCGGCAATTGGCCTAAAGCACACTACATATAATTTTCACAATTTTTAATTAAATGGAAATCAAAAACTGCCATTGGTCGACAGCACTCTAGAACAGAGGTTCACAACCTTTTTGGTTTGTTGCCCCTAAAATGAAATAATGTCCATGTGCGACCCCTGATCACAAGTTTAAAATGTCTGTAAATTGTTACAACTTCAACTGATGTAATTTTCATCTCAAAAATAAACACATTTTACACGTATGAGAGGCTAAAAGAATCCAGTATTTCACAAGAGAAAATTACATATTAGAGAAAAGTGAAGCCATGACTATTTTTATGTAGAAGAAATAGTGAATGCTTTGATTCTCTCCAGTCCCATCAATTATCTTGTGATCCCTCACATTTATCTTGTGTTAACACCAGACACAGTGACAGAAATCAGTCCAGGACTTTATCGTTTCATCCCTTACAAAGTCTGATATGTTGCATTTTTACAAACATATTGAAATAAGGATTCACAATTAGAGAAACATACTAATAAATGGAAAAAAAACAAAAAAACAGCTGCAGATAAAGAAATGACTGGTGTGCATTACATGTTGATGCATGACTGGTTATGACCTACTAACCAGTATTGTCTTCCAGAGCAGCAGTAGTACTTTCTTCATGGGGAAGTGTGGGGCGTTCATGCTGCAGAACTTGGTCACCATGGTGAAGAGGAGCAGGGCGAAGGGCTCTCCGTTGTACAGGGGTGAACCTGGGGGGACAAAGGTCAAAGCAAATGTTTTTGGATTGGGTATATGGACATATGAGTATAACTGTAATATCAAGATACTAAATGACACACACCTAACTCATTCTTGAAGGTCTCTCTGGCTGCTATCCACTCAGGTCGGTCGTCCTCTGTTCGAACTCTAACGGTCTCCACCATTAGGTACATGATGCTCAGTAACACTCTGCAAGGAAGCGGATCATACGCAACACTTAACTTGACTGTGTCTATGTGTATGTGTGTGTTCGTGTGTGTGTGTGTGTGTGTGTGTGTGTGTGTGTGTGTGTGTGTGTGGGAGGCATTTAACTGGTGTCCTAAACAATGATAATGGGCATAACAGGTCTACATGTACAAGAAACAATAGTATAATGGAATAGATGCAGAGTAACAGTAAATGATGTGAAGTGCTTGGTTTATGCAGTCTGCTTCTGCCTATAAAAATGGGAGGAGATGATTCCTGGGCTCTGCCAGATAATGCCTGATAATGCACCATCCATTCACAATTACCTGATGTTAAGTCAGGTGGTGTTTTGGGGCATTAAATGCTTTGTTCACTCAAAGCTTTTCACTTTGTTCAAAATAACTATAATGGTTTTTCAATTTTGTAGCAGCAATTAGGTGCAAATCTACCCCTCTAGTCTGTAATTATTTGTAAGTGTTCATCTGGGGAATGCACAGACGGAGCTTTGTGTATGTGTGAAAATATGGGTGTGCGTGTGTGTGTGTGTGTGTGTGTGCGCGCGCGCCTGCATGTAAAGGAGCATTTAGCCTATTTTATTTTCAAAAATCAATTCCATTAAGTGAAAGCAGAGAATGAAAATGAATGTGAGGGAGAGGGACAAAGAATATAATTACATTCTGGAGATTAGGTGTGTGTGCGTGTCCACGAAGGTGTATGTGTGTGCATGTGGCCAGATGACAGAAAAGTAAGCATGACAAATACTAAGGTGAATTGAAAAATTGTGAGGAAAAACAGCAAGGCAGGAGACATAAAATGGAGGGATGGGAAAATACAGTACACATAAAAATCTTTTTGTGTATTACTTATTGGTTTCCCCATTATTTGAAGTAGAGGAGAAGGTGGAGCAGACTGTGAGTAATGTGATTATATTCCTCACCTGAGCTCTGTGCTGTCTGCAAGAGAGATGGCAGGCTTCCTCACTGCACTGCTGCACGCCTGGCTGTTACTGTGCACACACAAGTAAATAATTATATCATTTTAGTGGCTAATTTTAAAATGACAAGCCAGTCTGCACAGTCAGGGTAATACAAATACATAACATGTGACAATATAGGTATCAGTATGACGACCACATAATAATAATAATGATATAAGGATACAGAGGGTTTCACACGTACACAACCAGACTCATTTTCAATGAGATGCCTTTTTTCATGTTTTTTGTGTAACCAGCAATGACCTGCAAAGCACCATGTGTGTGTGTTTGCCTGATTGGCTTGCTTACACTGCTTTGCCGTGCAGCCTGGTGATAGGACAGACTGTGCCATGATGCCTCATAGCAGCTTATGTAACAACAAAGACGCACTGGATCCCAACTCGGGCTGACACCAGCAGCAACAAAGCTGACTTGAAGGAGGCGCTGCCGCGCCGCGTCCCCAACGGATGGTTTGAAGCGTGGATCACAGACGGCGTGTTTCCTGTATTCCTTGCACTTCAGTTACTCTCTGTGTATTTATAATCCCACAACCCTCCTCTCCTCTCATTTGACTGCCCCCCTCTTGTTGTAGAAAGGAGATGGAGGATTTTGGGGGAGGAAACAAGGGATGTGCTGAGGGAGCTGGGCTTCAGAAGTGGGAGGATTCTGAGAGAAGTTTGATCTTGTAACAAGGAAAACACATTGTTTCCTTCAGTGCTTGAACCTGTGACCTTTTAGTAACATGAAGCTTGCTGCATACTGTATGAAAGACCTCCGGATAGGAAGGAAGGCATTCCTTTATCTGACAGTCATAATAACATTTCTACCCTTTATTTCAGCCCTCACCCTTCCTTTATTGCTGTAGACCTTCACCCAAGGAGGAAACAAATTAAAAAAAAAAAAGATATGACGAGCTGCCTTGCATCTCTCTGAGGCCCTGTTTACCTCTCTGGCTTGCTTGCCCTTTGTGTCCCTTTCTTTTACCATCTATTGTTAGCAGTAATTCTATAGTCTCACCAAACAAATCTATGGTGAAAGTGACACTGAAGCAATATTAAAGAAATGGTATTCTTGATTTTTCGCAGTAACTGATGTCATTATTATTATTGATGTCTATTGAAGTATCTAAGAAAAGTTTTTAATGACTCATATATCCCCAGTGTGTTCAGTGAGTACTACTCACTCTATCTCCATGCTGAGCAGCTCCAGCAGTGCCGTGAAGATGCCCATGTCGTAGAGCAGAAAGACGTTGTGTCTGGACCAGTGAAGCACATCCACCTCTGTGTCGCACTCATCAAACACTCCTGGGGAAAGGTGTAGAGGAAATGGGACACAAAGAGAGTGTTTTTGGATGTGTGATATTTTTCATATTGCCATATTTCTTTTCTTTTTTACTTGGAATTTTTCAGGTTATTGAATAATCTCTCTCACATAATAGGTGTTTGACACTGTATATATTATACAATATGTGCTATTCTTTGCATTAATATGCATTAGTTAACATAATTTTACATAAATGCCACTGGGTGTCTAGTATCATGCATATAGACTTTGAGAAGCAAATATATGCTAAAGTAAAAAGTTAATCGCAACAAGTGTGTGGTATACAGGTGTATATTAACTGCTACAATTCATTTATACATGGACTTTTTTCAGGAAAGACATTTCCACACAGTAGAAAAAACACAGGTGACCATAATAAAATTAATGATGGCTGAATATCATTTAGTTCTGGTATTATGCATGCTGGCTCACTGTCATGACTTAGTCAGATACTGGAATAATGTTAATGTGAAAAAATGCTTGTTGCTGGCTGTAATGTGTTGGGCCTACATACCCTGAGCCAGGTAGAGGATGGCTCTGGCCACCTTCAGCCTCTTGTCCCTGTCCGTCACCTCCAGCGCGTCCAGCAGCCTCATCACATACGCCCTCTGTTCCTCCACCGTCAGCTCGATCCACCTCCTGCCTCGAGCTCCAGAGAGGACACACAACAGCACAGTGTTCAAGGTGAGATTCAGAAGCACTTTCTCTGTATCTTTCTCCTGTGCCTCAGATTATACAGTTGAGGCTGATTTACTGTGTATCCATGTTCTCTTTTTATTGCAGATTTCTTCTTTTTGACATTTTTGGCTTATTACAGTGACAGAAAACATGGGGAGAAAGAGACGGGGGGTTGATATTTTTTTTTTTAGAAAGACCACAAATGGAAAAAAATACCAGTTATGCTTCTTAAACAAGACAATGCATTTTTAGTAATGTCCGCTCTACAAAAAATATTTAGCTTAAGTGTCCCAACATTACCAACTTCACACTTGTTATCTTACTCATTAGCTTAATTAATCAGCTTTTTCTATCAGTCACTCCACACTTGTTATTTGTTACCATACCCACTAGCTTACTGGATTATGCTGAATTATCCAACCCGTTAGCTTTATGTACCATCATACTTTTTAGCTTACTGCATTATCACACTTTTTAGCTGCTGAATTATCATTCTCGTTATCTTAAAATATCATCATACTCGTTAGCAATTATGAAACTTGTTAGCTTACTGTAGTTACTATAGTCATTTTCTTTTCTATCAGTCACTTTGTACTTGTTATCATCTGGTATTAATACAGTATTTAAGCCAAAGTGTATCATGTACTGTAACGTAAAATGTAATTACTTTTGACTGCAAATCATTTTAGTCAAACTGTTCTCTTGACCTGAACATTCACTGTCTTCATGTTATAGTGTGTGTGTAAATATAGAGACTGACGGCTGCTTTGATCTGTCTGTCATTAGTTTTCAACATCATGTTCAGGCCCACTGCATCAGCTCTAGAAATAGCTGAAAACTAGGGAGGCATATAGCGCAGTAATTACCAGAGCCAGAGGCGTCATGAGGGGAAAAGAGACACATGTACAGTATACACACACAAAAAGGTGTGAAGGTTATTAGCACTACCAAAAACATAGTCTTATGTGAAGTAGATCTCAAACTACTACAAAAAGCATACAACTTAATGAAATGCAGGCTTCTCTGGCGAGGATTCAAGTCTCTTTTTTCCACTGTGTAAGTCCTCTATTCTTAGACTCTTCATTTGATGAAGTGGACAGTAATAGGCATTAAGCAGTGCACCATCATCATGATCAGTGGAGCCCTGATCTTCTGCTTAATATACTCTGACGTGCACTGTCCACTCAAGTCAGGAAGCAAACGTTGCTTTCTAATTTCAGCACTGTCCCCAAAAACATACTTTTCTACAGCAATCTTAAATAAGACATGTTGTGATAATCACTGTAATTTATGTGAGTGACTGAATTTATGAGCACTGATTGAGCAAACTGTCAGTGGCCGTGATGTATACACACTCACACAAAAGAGCACAAGTCAAACCCGAAACCCACCCTTTGACAACCAACATACAGTGCTCACTGAACACACACATACACACTAATGAAAAGCCTGTGGTGCAAAGACGCAGCTCTGCGCTCTATCTCTGTAAAACAGCAGAGAGAGAGAGCTCTCATCTAATCCTGCTATTCATTACCATTCAGCTTGGAGAGGAGGTGTCAGATAAAGGAGGACAGAGCTCGTCTCGCTCTTTTTCAACTCCAAATGGCAAGGTATTCTTTTGTCTACGACGTGTGTCGCAGAGCCTTGAGACGTTTGTGGCTTCTTGCTTATTCTCAGTGTTTTGCTAGACACAATATTTTCAAAATGAATGGCCTTCATTCCCAGAAAACAGACTTTGTTGAAACAATTTGCACTAAATGGAGGAGAATGACAACAAGTGATAATGCTATTATATTTTGATGTAATAAATATTAATTATTTTCACATGGAAAAAGCATTTAACACAATGAAAACATGATCATTTCTGCACAGGATATTTTGCTTCAGCATATCAAGTAAAGAAACCCCGTATTAAGGACTCATCTCATCAGACTGACTATAATGCCAAGGTCCATGTTGGAAAAGCCGCTTTGTTCTCGGTAACCAATAATTAATCGCATAGTTGGGATGGGCCCTCCCATCTGTATCTGCGGGGATATTCATTCTTTGAACAGCTTAAAAGAGCAGAGCTTTGATGTGCCTGGTCTCACTCACCTCACACTGGTCAGCTTAAAAAAAAAAAACTAAAAAAAAAAAACCCCACAACAACACACTGGAGAGCAACTCTGGCTTGTGTTGTAGCTCTGAGGTGAGAAAACTGAGCTGAACACATTGCTTTAACAGCTTTTAGTGTAAAGTCGAGAGACGCACAGAGGGCTGGAGGAGTGAAATGGTTTCATGACGGAGGAATTGTAGAAATGTAAGTGGAAGTTAACTTTAGTCAGTCTATGTTTTTATTATTTCACCCATAATTCCCTTCAGTACACACTTCGTCGTGCGTGTACCACGTTGAGAAAGCAGTTAACCTTCAACATTTCACTGAAGGACGCTGTTATCAAGCAGTAAACTGGATCCATTCGGGGCATTCAGAGCTACATAAAAGCACTCAGTCTTGTTGTGTCAGTCAACACAAGTCACGCTGGTGGAGGAGTTGTCAAGGTCTCTGTGATAAACAACAGCAGCAACACAGCAGCACCAGTCTGCTGTCTGTGGACTTGTGTGTGTTTGATATGGCACAGCAAAGCAGAGTGTTGGCAAAGTGTGCGTACCCATTTTGTGTTTACTTTCTCTTCCTGAGAGGCAGTGGCAGAGAGGGGAGGGACACACCTGGCAATCTACAGGTAATCTGAAAACATGGCTTTAAGACGTGTCACACACACACACACACACAACACACACACACACACACACACTCAGTACCATGGCTCCTGAAGTCCTCCTCAAAGTAGTCTCTGTTCAGGGCAAACTCCGGCTCCTCTGTGTAACTGTAGAGCTCTGTGAAGAGAATAAAACAGAATTATGGCTGAAACAATTAGTTTATAAATTGACTAGTTGATTGACATAAAAATAAATTAACAACTATTTTGCTAATGGGTTAATCGTTTGAAGTCATTTATCAAAACAAAAGCTGTAATCATTTTCTTGTTGCAGCTTCTCCAGAGTGATGATTTGCTGCTCTTTTTGGCATTTTGACGTTTTATGGATCAAGCGATTGTCTAACAAGCCTAACAGTCTGACAATTCGTCACGTTGTCATGCATCTCCTCCTGTTCCGAGAGCAGTCATCATTCCTCGGCCCCCGAGGAGCTGTCGCTAGAAAGCTGCTGTGACTCTCTGCCCGCTTGTGTGTGTGTGTGTGTGTTTGCCAGTGTGACTAACACTCTTGGCAAATCAGCTGCCGCTTGCCATCTACCAGCAGGACAATCATTTTGACTTTAAACCACTGCTGTTATTCAACGGTTCTTTCTGCACATCTGCTGGATCCGGGAAAAAAAAAAAAAGTTAGTGCTGGACAGGAGAGGAATATAAATTATACACTTCAAATAAACTAAAGTACAATCAGAAACTATCTATTTGTGCATCTTTTGGCTGCAAGTCACATTTGAGGCATTACCAGACACACAGATGCTGGAGAAATTCAGCAGTTTTGAATGTATAATCAAAGTGTTTATGATTACTCAGAACATTACTCATGCAGTGTGTCCTATGTCTGAAAAACATGTCAGGACCAGAACATTGTGTTCTGTGTCAACTTATTGTCTTGTTTTTTTTTTTTTCTTATTCTTATGAAAAACACTGTAACATAAAACAGCTGAGGAAAACCTGAGGAATGTAGATGCAGAGTTAGTTTTCCAATCAATAGCACATTGTAATCTGTATGCCAAGTGGAAACCAGAGGTATTATTGCAAGAATTCTGTGGGTGAAATCTTGTGTCTCCCATAACAACCATTCATAATTTTAGCTGAAAGTCAGACTCTGATGGACAATGGATAAAAGCTACTAGGGGATCTGTGCACAAAGATTCATAAAAAAAAAAAACTGATTTACAGAAGTTTCTTGTGGGTGTAGCAGGTGGTCGGTGTTACCTGAAAGCTCAGCAGTGAGTGTGTCTGTGTCTCCATACTCAAACTCCAGGTTGGGAGACTCCATGGAGCTCTGTGAACAAGAAACAAAACACACATGAGCATACATTGTAGTATGACACTGAACTCAGCCAATTATACACACACACACACACACACACACACACACACGCACACACACACACACACACACACACACACACGCACACACACACACACACACACACACACACACGCACACACACACACACACACACACACACACACGCACACACACACACACACACACACACACACACATCCATCCTGACACCCACATACAAACAGATACTCAAACATACAATACGCTATTCACATTTTGTAACACCTACCACTACTCTGAACTCCCATCAGCTTCACACATCACCCACTCGCTCTTCAGGCTCGTTCACAGTTTTGCCTCATCATGTGTGTTTTCACGTTATGATTGGCTGCCGGATCTCCAGTCGTTTACATTTTTTTTTTCCCTCTCAGATCCTCTCATCCAGAGCCACTCACAGTTACAGGTGCTCTCTGTGGGCACACACAGCTACAGTGCTGCTTTAATCAGTGTGATTGAACCGTTACAGGAGGTTCTCCCTAACAAAGTAGTCCATCAATCTGCACCAGTGAAGCAATAAACCTGCAATAATGCAGCACCACAGCAAAAAAAGTGAGGAAAGAGAGGGCGCAGGAGTCAGCGTGGCCCCCTGGTTCAGGGCAGATTAGCTGCTGTACCCAGGCCAGGGTCTCTCTTGGCTTTGACTTTAGCCTCACCCTGTGATTAGCACGTGCCCGTGAGACAGACTGCACACATTAAGATCCCTGTGAACACCCTCGCTGCTGCATGCTGTTGCACACATGTACAATCTTCACGCGATGTTGCATATTCAATCCACTTTGGTCCAGACTGAAATATCTCAACTTTTAAACTAAAAGTAAAAAAGAAAATTGTACAAATATTCTTTTTTTTTTCTTTTTAAACCAAATACCTGCCAAACAAATGGCATTTCCATCACACTAAACTAATCTGGTGAATGTGGTTAACATCATACCTGCATAACATCAGTATGTTAGCACTGTCAGCGTTAGCAGGTTAGCATGTTGATTATCACAAAGTACAGTTTTTGATTAGCTTGACGAGAAAGTGGTATACACACACACTTGTACTTCTATCTCTGTGAGGACACTCACTGACAAAATGCATTCACTAGCCCTTTACCCTCTCCATCACAACTGACCCTAACCCTGACCCTAACCCAACCTAAACCTAACTCTAACCCTAAAGCCAAGCCTTAACCTTCAAGCAGTCATTTGAAAGTACGTCAGAAAGTGAGGACTGACCAAAATGTGCTCACTCTCCAAAAATGTCCTCACTCTGTTAGGAAAAAACATTTTTCTTTTGGTTCTTATGATGTAGCATTTACAAGTACACACACACACACACACACACACACACACACACACACTGAAACAAACATTTCACTCAGGTGAAGGGGAACAGAGAGTGCACATATACTCAATTTGAGCACGACAACACTGCACAATAAAAAGCATATAAGGTTGATCAAGGTCTTCCAGTACATGTATAAAAGTCTAGAAGACAGTATACAGTATATCAACCGAGCAGAGGGGTAAAGGGTTCCTGCAGAGTGAAACCTATGTATGGGAACTACTTGGGATAAATAGAAGCCTAATAGCAGCAAGAGAATTCGCCTGGTGACTGGAACATTTTCATCTCTTTATCTTTTGGGTGGGAGATGTGAACTGATGAAATTACCCTAGAGGGATGATTAAAGATTCATTTTATGTTAATGAGCATTAAGGAACAGCACTGACAAGCTGAGAGCTCAGAGTGTTAGATGTGTTTAACCCTGTGAAAACTGCCCCGAGGGCCAGCCCAAGACTGTAAATAAGGATGTGCTCTGAGTCAGCTATCCTGGTTAAATAACTGCTGTGTGCTGTCATGTAGCTGTCTCCTATAAATACCTGCTGCAACCAAGTCAGCATGAACTGAAATAAACAGGCCGTCAGCCGGCGGTTTGTTTATGACACCGAGCCAAAGTAATGTGATTTGATGTCATTACTGCACTTGTAAACCAGGAAATGAGAACCACTTGGGACTAAAGATGATTCAACAAAATTACCCACAACTCTGAGTGCGGGTAAAGGAAACCTGTGGGTCTTTGTGACCAGGTGCTGCATCACTTTCTTACCGGATGCTCATTTGATTTGATCTGTCTACATCTTCAGACTCTTCCTTAGCTTCCTACATTACAAATAAATGTAAACATCCTAATGTCACCTTCACATAATGCAGCTTATGGCATATAACTGCTCGATATTGATCTAGCTGCAAGAAGCCAATTAGGAGCACCAATATCAGCACTATCTGTCATATAATTATGTGCTGAAAGCATCTCATGGATGATTAATTGTTTTAGTCATCGATAGTGGAAGATAATAAGGAAAATAATATTTTGTGTATGTAAGTATGTTTTCAGTTAGCCATTTGTACAAGCCATGTGTCTCTGGGCAGTATTGATGCATGCTCATTATAATTTAAAACAAGCTCACTGTAAAACTGTAAAATCCATTTTTTGATACTGTAAAATCAATGCCAATGAAAGCTCACAACTGTAATTTAACAATAGGTTTCATTAAAGGGCAGCTTCTATCATGTGAACTATGCTGCTGTGTTCTCCCATGAGAAGCAACCTCAGATATACAGTAGCTATTACAGACTTGTTGGGTGATATCATCACTGCTGCAGGCAGGCAACACCAGCATTCATCCACTGCTGCCACCACACACCCCCACCCCCCCTCACCATTCATCCTGCTGTTTGATAGTTCAGTGTGTAGTAAAATAGGGCTAGAAATTTTCAATATTTTTCATTATTGACTGATGTGTTGGATATTTTTATGATTAATCGATTATTGGTTTAGTATGCAAAATAGCAGACGATTGTGAAAATTCCATATAAAAATTTCCTTAAACCAAAGGTAACGTCTTCAAATTGTTTCTAAGTCAGCCTAAAGGTGACTTCAACACATCTCTCTCTGCATTATGGGAAGTTTAGGATCTAGCATTTTTGGTGCTGGGTCCTACAAACTAAAATGTACAATGTCTCAGCCTCTTTTTAAAGAGCCAACTCCGCTTTATCTCTTTAAAATGAAATTCATATTATTATTTGAAAAGAAAAAAAAAGAAAAAAATCTTGTTTTTTGAAAGAGAAACTGTCAAACCAGCAGTCCAAAATCTAAAGACTCAGACTACAACTAATGATTATTTTCATTACAGACTAAACTGTCCATTATTTTTTTTCATTTAATCCAGTAACCATTTATTATGTGTCACAAATTGTAAATTGTTGGAGGCTACTCCAAAACCAAATCATACTCAACAAATTTTGGGCCTTTTTGCTTGAAAAACAACTGAAATGATTAACTGCTTCTCAAAATATTTAGCAGTAAACTTCCTGTCATTTGACTCATTGAGTAATCAATTAATTGTTTTAGCAGTAATGACATGAAACAGAGAAAAAACAGCAAGTTCTCACATTTGAGAAGCTGGAACCAGGGAATGTTTGACAGTTTTTCTAGATAAATGACTTTGCTTTGATAAACCTATTAACCCATGATCAAAATTGTTATCTACTAAAGTTGTCTCATCCTTCAGGGGTTTAATGAAGAACCCACTGCCACCACTCTCTCCAAACCCAACTGAGATCTCTTTAATCCCCAGGAGCATCAACACAGACCAAACTATGCCTCTCTCTACCATCTCTCTCCTCTCTCTCTCCCTCTCCTTCCAGTCACCCAATCCTCCTCACCTTCTCTCCCTCTCCTTCATTTTTTCATCCAGTCTCCCCTCTCTGCCGCCAGCTGATAACGAAAGTCGTCCTTGCTCTAACCTGGCACAGACTTCTGTGCCCACACGCTCTGAAACCGCATCAGTGTGCAAACACTGGGCACCATGTCAAGGCAGACCACCCCCACTCCTACCAACATATGCCACACAGACAACAGATGACTGCTCTACCAGGCACAAATGACGGACCATTTACATACACGAATGAATCAGATCTGAGCTTCACTTGACTCAGCAGACAGACACCGGATCCCAGTTGTAGTGCATCGAGGCCACGGGGAGAATCAACATCAACACAAACACATGGCTTCGACGTTAAGTGCTTTCAACGTCTGTGTCATTCACCCCCAACTCACCATCACCAAACACCCCCCCCCCCCCCCCCCCCCCCTCCAGAATGCTGTGAGATGAATATGCTCTAATTCCCTCAAAACCATTCAATGTGCTCATACAAAAGGTGGAGGGGGTTTTATGGACTGGGTTTTGGCCCTGGATGACAGCTTTGTCTGATGTATCTGAGCTGAAGCAACGCAGCAGTGAAAAACCATCTTTGTGTAATTTTTTCATGAGGGTATGAATTATAGCTGCATGGCACTAAAAAAGCCCCAACAGACTGAATATAAACCAGTCATGTCTACAAAAGCAGAGTAGACTTACAGCTCCATATTTCAGACGGTGACTCCAAACAACTCTTAAAAATCACATCAAATTTGTGAACTTGATCCATGAGTCAGATCTTGATCCATGTCTCAGCCATTATGACTGGATAGAAGGAAATATTGTAGGGCTCACCTATTTTTTTTTTGTTTTGTTTTGTTTTTTTTAAAGAAAATTAAAAAAAAAATTTTTTTAAAAAGCCAAAGAGAAGCCAAAGTGACCATCAGTCCAATGCCACAGATCTTCGATTTCCACTAATATAAAACAGAGAAAAGCAACAGATCTTCACATGTGACAAGCTGAGACCAGAAATAAAATTTACTCATTATCATATTGATCATCAGAATTGTTACCAGTCATTTTCTTTTCGATGAATGAATTGTTTAAGCTCTGAAATAGTCAGTTAGGCATTTTGTAAAGGTCATAAATCAGAATCTATTAGCTATAATTAATAGCAATATCAAAAACATGAATCCAAAGATAATAAATCAACTATTGGGTTAATTGGTTGACAGAAGATATATCAACCGTTTTCGAACATGATGGTTCTTGGCTCTCAAATGTGAGGATTTGCTGCTTTTCCTTGTCATATATGTTGGATATGGGGATATGGATATTATAATTAGCCACCAAGAGACACCATAAGGGAATAAAGATCTATAAACATGACATGAACATGATTTTCAGATATGTTTAGTAGTGGTGGTGTGGTCCTGACAGCACCAGTCACATTTCACCACCTGCATTCTCCACGTTGAGCACCACTGTAGGATTACTGCTGGGTTATTTATAGGAGCCGGTTGCCAAAATAACACCTCGGTGTCTGCCTGCCTGCCTGTCTGCATGTATGCATGCTTTCGAGCCAAGACAGCGACTCCACCGCATGGAAAGGACATTCAGCTGGTCTGAAAGCTCCCCAGCAACAACACACACACACACACACGGACGCATACACACACACACACACACACACACACACACGGACGCATACACACCTCCAGTGCGCTCCTACACCATAAGCTCTTGTAGCTGACTGTACACAAACGCCTCTCAGATTTACCTCCGACTCCTTCTGCTGATCCTTGAACACATCTTTCCCTTTCGGCCTCTGTCTGTCGCCGTTATCGTTAAGGTTATTAATGATAGGTACCTCCATGTCCTCCGCCTGCATCTTTCACGGTTGGCGCGGCTCACTTCCTCCTCCGCGGATAGTGCATACCGGTCCGGTGGAGAGCTGAGACTGCGCCGCACCAGGAGGAGCATCGACTCCGGAGCTTTTTATATACAGCCTCTGCTCCGGAGCTCAAGTTGAGGATCTCCTCCGCCTCCTGCTACTCCAACTCCCCCCCCCCCCCCCTCTTCCCCCCCCCCCCCCCCCCACCGCCACCACCACCACTACCACCACAACTCAAGTCTGTTTGATTCGCTGTCCCTGTGCGCCCCGAGAAGGCGGGGTTAGAGAGTCATCATGACAGCAGAGAGGAGCATGAGCTGCCCACATCAAAGTTGAAGGAGGTGGCGTGACACGAGGTTAGTGTAAGGACTAAAAGGACTAATACACCTCATAACAAATTAAGAATGCTAATTGAAAGTTGAACTGCCACGATATCAGATTTTCACTACGTTATCGTGGCCAAAAGAATTCATGATAACAGTATTATCGCGATGTCTATAAATTTTTAAAAAAAACAATAAATAAATAACAATATTATCTTGTGTGTTTTGTCTATTTTTGGCAAATTATTTAGACTCAAACATGAGTTAAGGGAAGTGTAGAGAGTCTGTAACCATAACTGTACAACAGAGTACAAAAAGAACAGTTAGGCCTACACAGGTGAAAAGGCAACCAGATGAACTAATGATCCACAAGTGCCTAACATCTGTCATCACAATATTATCATATGGGTATTATTAATATGATATTTCATTTTTTTAAATAGTTAGGAGAAACAAGCTTTTGGCTTGACAGTGCTCTATAAAACATCCTCCACATGTAAAAAATATTCATGTTATAAAAATATCCAAATGTAGGAATATATTAGCAAAGATAACAAATAAATAGAGAGATAAAAGAGATAGAAAAAATAGTGACAAACTGGTTTATTGTTTATTTACTGTTTATGTGTTTCCCTGCTTGGTCTGACTCAGAACATGTTGATATAAAAAATGGAGGTATAAAAGTTAAGATATATTAAAAGCAACCAAGAGTAAAATGGAGTATCCAGTTTAGAGGTGCTCAGCCAAAGGTTTTAGAACAGCCCAATTTTTACTGTTTTTACAGACATTTCAACAGTTCAAGTCACATGGATAATTCTTAAGTGGTACAAAGGTAAACAGCCCAAGGTAAAAAAAAAAAGAAAGTGCAAAAACTGAAAAATCCTGTTGATTTCATAGAAATTTTTTTCAGGGATTAAGAAATGTGTTAACTTCCAGCTTTCCTGCAACAATGGAAGTAAATGAAGCTTCGAAGTTAATGCAAACAATTCCTACAGGTTGAACTTACAAACGCTCTGTCGGTACAAAGGCAGAGCTGGAACAAACTGTGTCACTGCACCCTCTGATGCATTATTAGGATTATACTGTGCTGCAGGAAGTAGTACAGTTGGTCAGAGGTTCATCCTACAGCAAGATAATGACCCAAAACTTTATAGAAGAAAAGAACCAGACGGTGGCTTCACATGATGGAAGAGCAGCACTGTCTCCAGGCTTAAACCCCATGGAGCTGGTGAAAGCAAAGCAAACTGCAAGTGCAACACACTCATGGAAACCTCTGCAACTTCATGCCTTTTAATGTCGATTATTAGTCACTGTCACAGAAGCTGTTAAATGGAGCAAAAAGTCATATTCTGGTCTTAATTCTCATTTTCCCTCCCTTCAGTGGAGCAAGTGAATTATTGATATGTGAAGGTGGGGGTTGGTGTCTAGGCTGTCACACACACACTCCTACCTACCAACACAGACACAGACACAGACACAGACACACGCACGCACGCACGCACGCACGCACGCACGCACGCATACACACACACACACCCCTGACTGTGAAAACCACTTTAAGATGACATGATTGGATTGTACAGTTGAATGTAGGCTTGAGCTTCTGGTGGAACGTGACCACCTGGTAGGACAGTGGGTGGGTGTGTGTGTGTGTGTGTGTGTGGGGGGGGGGGTCATGATTAAATAATTATTCACTGGTAGATGAATCAATTTAGACTCAAGTCTGACAAAGCTAGAAATCCAATAAAACGCATCATCTGCAAAGATGAACTGCAGCAGTGATGAGGTTTAAAATCTGACACTGGCAGCTTTGACTGAGCCCTTGAAAAAAGACATCAGCCCATAGTTTATACAGGAGTTTATCAGGATTCAAAGTATGAAGGTTAAAGTGCTGAAAAACTTTCTTGCTCAGTTGATTTCATATCCTGGAAAAAGGTTCAGGCACAAACAAGGACTAAAAGCAGTTTTTCAAGAGCATCTGGCTTGTAATTCATGCTGACATACAGCAGGATCATTGGCAGGGACACAATGAAAAAGTGTAAACCAATAGGAAATCAATGATGGAAAAAATGTGGGTATGATAGGAGGAGTCAGAATGTTAAAACATGTTATTTCCGTGGTTTGTTTAGTGATGATATTTATTTTGGGCAATACTACAACCATTAACAAACAGCTTTCCAAGAAGATGAAAGGGATTTTTCAAGAAAAAAAAACATTTTCCTGACTATTACTACATGAAAAAGCAAATAAATGAATAAAGAATATTTTCTCTTTTTACTTTAAAGGAATAGTCTAAGCTAAAAAAAAAGTTGGGGGTGGTCAAAATCAAATGAGACATTTAGCTTTAGTATGGGTCAAGCCTACAATTCCCATAATGCTACTTAAATGTAATCAGTAAATGTCCATTTTAAACTCCTTTAAAATCCATACACCCAGTTTCTGATTCACTTTTGGTTATAAAAAATTGATTTGTTAAATAACCCTGCTGACATCATCAGGGTCATTGTTCTCTACTCAAGAGAGTTGGTCCAGATCTACAGAAGCTCCCCTTCAAAAATGATGTAGTAAATCATCTGAAGGTTTGCAGAAATTCTGTTTGTAAAAACCAAATGTTTCTTTAAAATCTAGTGTTCAAAAGCTAGTTAAGAATATTTAAATTGGATTTTGCTTTGACCGAGAAAACACAATGGCTGAATATTTTTTTTGTCGTGCTGTTTCATTCGTCAAACCTTGTTTTAGGCTTTTAAGGCCAGAAACAAGAACACGGACAGAAGTGCTGTCTATTCTAAACCTCTAGATTATAGTGTTGTTGTAAATGACATGACATTTCATTGTATGTGTCAAACTCGTTGGATCCTGTTATGCAGATTTGTGTGTCAGGAATAAATAAAAGCTCGCAGCTGAACCCTGTTGATGTCAGAGACGTCCCGGTCCGATGGCTCAGATGAGCTCACTGCGGCTCTGACAGACCTCAACAGCTGCACACGCACTCCCCTTCCCCCAACACACGTGAACGCAACTACACAAATGAGCCCACTATGAGAACAGACTGGAACAACACACACACCAAACATTGTCATAAGGACAAAGCAGGTGATCAATTATTGAAAAGGAGCAAATGTGTTTGTAGAAATTAAGGACAAGCACAAAAACCAGTTACAATTTTTACATCTTTATTCATTAAGATTACAGAATTTTTTAATTATTGCTCATCATCTACTATTATCACTTGCAATATTTAAACATAGGGTTTTTTTTTCTTTATTAGACAACTTAAAACATGTTTGAGAATTTTGCCAGTTTGCACTGTATGAGGATTTACAACAATAAATACAGGAGTTGATTCTTCTTTTACCATCCTATACTTTTAAAGGTTGTCATATCTGCATATAGTATGTATATACATATATGATGCTGGTGTCTTCCCCCGCCCACCCATGTGTTGGTCAGCTCATAACTGACAAAACAAAACAAACAAAAAAAAGGTTTCTCCCCCTAACGCACAGGCTAGGATCCTGAGGCAGCTGTTAATGAACGACCATGGCCTACGAGAAAGGATGTGTAAAAACATGTAAAGACACACACACACACACAGACACACACGCACACACACTAGCTATAATCACCTCATGTTTCAAGAGGTAATTTACTCTTACACACATTCACACTTACAAAAAGGGGGAAAAAAATTAAGACTTAAGACAACAGGCTTAAGAACTACACTGACAACAGGTCACACTACTTTAAGAGGGGACTCTCAACAGCACAAGGAGACAGAGAAAACGCACAGACATTGGGAGGGAATAGCGTGACGTTGAGGTTATATGGGCTGTGACACAGTATCGGATCTTGTCATTTCATGGCGGTGTTATGGGTGTGCAGTAGGTTCCTACACACCTTTACAGTTTCTTTAGAATTTGATTTGTTTTTACCAAATTTAAGAAAGGAATAGTTTGATATTTCGGAGCTTAGCATAAAGACTGGAGGCAGGGAGAAACTTCCCTCAATTTCCAAACGTCATGCTAAGCTAAGCTAACTGGCCCATGATAAATATTAGTGTACCTAACATGAGAGTGGTATCAATATTCTCAACTCACAAGAAAGCAAATAAGTGTATCTCCTAGAATGTCAAACTATTCCTGTAAAGAATTTGGTTTTGATGATGTCACACGAAAACTAAATGGTATATAATGTGTAGGCATATTTGTAGGCTACTTGAATATAGCAACAGTATTTATTTGATTGGTAAACAAAGCTTTTTGTGCTATTTCCACCTGTTGATGTAAAGTGACCAAATTCATTTCCATACAGAGTGAATTTTTCAGACCTGGATAATAAGCTTCTGTGTATGTGTGTTTAAGCATTTGATCCCACTATGTGAGAGTTGAGCCGGCAGCGTCTCCCAGCAGGCTAACAGAGACTCTGACTGGTTCAGGTGCAGTTAAGAGCTGGTAGCGGCGGGGTGCACCCGGCCTGTCGGGTGAAATGACTGTCAGGATTTTCTAATTTCCACCGTCAGGTCAGCTGGGGACAGCCGTGCAGCTCATTATAGCGAAAGGATCAAAGCTTTTCAGGTGTGGGCAGGAAGAAACTAAAATATAATCCGGCCTGACGTGCCAAGTTTGGAGATTTTTTTTTTTTTTTTTTTTTTTTTTTTTTTTTTTAAAACGGGGGGGAGAAAAAAAAAATCCCTTTACAGGCAAATGCACATAAATTTGCAGGGAAGCTTCAATTTGTTTCTTGGATGGAGAGAAAGTAAATCATGGTGGAACTTACTCCCAGATTTGATTTTTAAGCTGAACCCCTTGACTTTATCTGTAAGTACCAAAGAGTTGTGTTGTGTATGGTCAGTGTAGTAAATCTAGACAGCACCATACTTTTCACAGAGGACCTGATTGAAGAAATCTGCCTAAGTACCGGACTGGCAACAACCTGCAGCACATTTGGTATCTCTGTAATCATTTTCTGTCACAGTATTAAAAATGAAGGTTTAAGTTAGGTTAGATTTTTTACACTTATCATTAGAACATTAAATTGCTTTATCTTTATGACATGTTGATTTTTTTTTCCAAAAGTTATGATATTAGATGGCGCAGGAGAGAAAAAGATAGAAAAATCTTAGTTTCTATATAAATATCTAAATATACAGTATACCCCTTGTAATGTTCTGACAACCTGCCATGCTTCTAATACAGTATAGTCATTCTTGGTAAAGGAAAAGACAAACTGTAAAGGTCAGCTCTCACTAGTTTGAAATACTTTTCATGACTTCAACACTGGCGTCATGTGAGCAGCTGGAAGCTGAGAAAGAAGCAGCTAATGAGATGGTTTCACTGTGGGTTTGAGTGACAGGTGGGAAGAACCGGCCACCGTCCAGTCATACTAAAAAAAAAAAAAAAAAAAAAGTTACGACGGCTGATCCAAAGGGACAGAACGCATAATAAAAAAATGTTTAAAAACAGACACAGTGAATTTCAATGAAACGATCAAATAAAAGACATGATATGATTGGACCCTGAGATCCCGCCTAACCCCATCCCTCCTCATGTAGGTCTAACCCCGCCCTCGCAAATATTACACAAGAGAAAACAAAAACATAATCACAAGTAGAAAAGAAAAGACAACAACAACAAAAAAGGACAGGAAAAAGTGTCCATCACTAAATCTTCAAAGATCATCTTCATTCACACAGATTTTTTTTTTTTTAATCAAGTTTTTTTTTTTTATATAGTATATATCTTTTTAGCGTCAATAATTTCATCTTTAATAGTTAAACAATAAAAGATCTGACAATGGGAAGGGAGGATGGAGGGTTTACATACAACTCGACACACAAGTGAGCGTCTAAAGAGAACGAGATAATGGTGGTGTGTGTGATGACGAGCGGGAGGGAAGCAAAACATCTCCCAGGAGAAGACGCAGGGGAGCTAGCTAGTGGCGGATGCTAGCTCCACACAGTTAATGTTATTATTATTATTGTTGTTGTCAAGCGTGAATAAATAAAACTGCCATATGCGCATGGAAATCCACCCCCCCCTTCGCAAACCCCTTTCTCCTTCAGGGCTCAGTCAGAGCCAGCCCCCCCCCCCCCCCCCCCCCCCCCGAATATAAAGCAGGTGTGTTGAACTTTTTTGTCCTGCCGTTCTGTCTTCCTCATCCTCCTCCTCTCCCTCTGTGAGTCTGTGCGATTCATGGAGTATTGGTATTTGGTCAAAGTCCAACCCCAACACTGGTTTAATACCTTAGAGACAAAGAGAGAGTGGTTTCAGTCAGCATGTGGTCATACGTCTTCTACCATCTGGGTGGTTCACCTCAATGAAAAGTTCTGTACCGATGAATCTGGCCCTGCTCTCTCATGAGAAGTATATGTGAGGCTGACTCGGCAAGTAATGACTGTAAACTGATGACTGACAAAACCCAATGATATTTCAGTTCATTTCAATGTAATCTTAATGCAACATTATCCAAAAGAGATTTTTCATTATTAAGAGCTAGTTACACACACACACACACAAAAAAAAAAGACTAGGTACATTCTAGGTTCTGACTGAATCCACAAAATTTGTGATTGTTTTTACCTTGACAATGAACTAGCAGGTAAGAGAGCTGGCATCTTGCTCAGTGACACCTGACTATAGCTAACTGATGTTAAACCCTGCGAGTAAGTGGACAAAAATCCAAAGTGACACTCGACAGTGGACAGTGTTTTTGTAGTTTAATAAGATCAACAGAGTGGTCACTCCTCTCTGGTGAATCTCTGTCTAACTTACTCACTCATTACAAAAATAATCACCTCTAATCACAATGTGTCGGATTTATTTCATCCAGCTGCCACCGACAGCCGTTTGTCTGTGTGTCTGTCTTCTCAACCGCCAACAGCTGATTACAGATTTCAGCTGAATCTTTGTTACTTAAAAATGTTGAAGATCAAACTAGAGCTGAAATGATTAGCTGACTAACTGAGCAACAGCAGAATAGTCGACAGCAAGTTTGATGAGCGATTCATTGTTTTGAGTCATGTTTTAAACAAGCAGCCTCTGCAGGTCGTCCTAGTCCTCTATGATAGGGAACTGAATATCTTGGCTAGCATGAGATAAACATTTTTATTCCAGACTTGGTAAAATGTGACTGAACTCCAGCTATATACACCCAGCAGACAAAAATGACAAGATGATCTCTTAAAAGCACTTAAATGCCAATCCTAACGAAGTGAGCTTGAGGAGTTTTCATACCTATAGTAGTTTGGCTTAAAGGGCCCATTCTTGTTCAAGCCCAGATACTTGGCCTGCTCGTCGGTCAGCTCTGTCAGATGTGCATCGAACGTAGGCAGATGTAGGCTGGCCACATACTCATCTGGAGGCGGAGAGAGAGGAAGAACATGTTAACATTCACCAGGCATCCGCGGCTGATTAATCATTCAAATGAGAGGAAGAGGAAGCAAAGTTGAAGAGGTGCTCTGGGATTTACCATCTCCTTTTCTCCTCTGCAATCACTACTGTCTTCCATCTTCATCTTTCTGCTTTCCTTCTTCCCTCATCTCAGCCTCTCTTTGCATCCTTTCTTTCTTTCTTTCTTTCTTTCTTTCCATCATCTTCCTGTCAGTGTGTGTGCCGTGGTAACAGCAGCAGTCACTGGCAGGGTGACCTAAATTTTTTTGTCTGTTTGTCTTTACAATGTATGCGCGCTGCACACTGAGGGAAAGCTAAGAAATGTGATGGGCCAGTGCTGCAGACATGCTGTGGGCTGTACGCACACACACACGCACAGTGCGCGCGCACACGTACACACGTACACACACACACACGACTCATTCTACTGTGAATGATTTGCTATCCAGGGAGACGACTATGGGCTGAACAGATGAGACCGACTGTGTTGTCTATAGAGATAAATGCAATATGCCTGCAGGCTCTCTGCTGGGGCAAAAACAAACTCCCTGCAATCACTTCCTTGCTTGGTGGCTACTTAAGAACCAAACCAGCTTATTGTTCATCTCCCTGGCCTGGTAGCTTTCTGTGTTTGTCTTATCTAACAGGGATTCATGCTTCTACATGGTGTATTGTTGTATTCTAGTAGTACAAGTTGTCTTTCTTCAGGTTTTATTCCATGAACACAGTTTTAACTAAAATAAATCTTACCCATCTTTTTGGGCAGCAGGTAAACATCCTGCTTGTAGCGTCCCTCTGGGGCATTGTACAGCTCTATCAGAGCCAGAGCCTGGGCACAAACACATACAAAGGTTACTCACACACACATACATAAACAAGACAGACATAAAATACAAAACAAAACCAGTCATGTACAAGAATGTAAATAAGACAGAAACTGATGCTCTGTTTTACCTGGGTAGTGGCGGTGATGGAGAGAACAAAAGTGGGCACAGTGGAACAGCTGAGGTTCAGCAGGCGACCCTGGAGAGGAAGAGAAAGCAATACAAGGTTGGAGCATGCGAGGCAAAAACACCCAGGGGTGCTTAACCTTGTGTGACGATGTGAAATCGGACATGATGAAAAAATAAGAAAGAAGGATGAATCAACCCATCTGACAGGCTGCCGTGTCCAACTGATATCAAACCGGCAAATCAGAGCATTTGCAGAGGGATTACATGACATGTCATTAACTTTAAAAAAATTAAAATCTTACATCTGACCTCGGGCCGTTTTGTATTTTCCCTCCACCTTGGTGTGAGTTACTGTGGCGCATCATCTTATACTAACAGGAGCAGGTTGTATTGTTGATGTGGCAGGATGAAAGCTTTAATTTGTCCCATCACTCCTGCTCCTCCTCCATCACTCCTTCCCATGTATTTAATTGTAGAAAAAGTTTCTCTCTCTCTCTCTCTCTCTCTCTCTCTCTCTCTCACAGCTCATAAGTTTGCATGAATAAATGCATGAGTGTATAGTATTACACTGTGAAGCAAAGTTATGAAAAGAGGAATGAACAAAAAATTGCTCCTCATTTCACAGTTCTACTGTTTCAAAATTAAAATTATTCTTAACCTTTAATGAAAAGCAGCTCTCCAGATTCTCTGTATCTCAGATTCATGAATGATTTTACCTTTAAATAAGTGACATTTTTTTGCATTTTTGGAACAAAACTCTATTTTGGATGAGAGCTGTGAGGAACTGGGAGTGTGATCTGGAAGGAGGGGAGGGGAGGTGAGGGTGGAGGAGCAGGTCTAATGATGTGGTTGAAACCTGCTGCAGATCAAACAGCGGCAGAGACACAGGCAGAGACGGGCCAGCAGGTTGTCTGGTCCCGTCAGACTGCTCTCATTCTGTCACGGCTTGGAATACACACACACACACACTCATAAGCCGAGCCTTTTTCTAGTATGGGTCTATGCAGGGGTGTGTATCTATATGCCCTCACATTTTCTACACCCTAATTTGTTGACTAGATTTGCTAATGGAGTTCAGTGAGATGTTTATCAAATGTGATGGGGGTTTAACTCAAAGTCTAAATAATAGTCTCAACTTGGAACAATAAAGTTGTTCTATTGATTTGCTCTTTTCCTGATTAAGTGTCTGTCTGTCTGTGTGTGTGTGTGTGTGTGTGTGTGTGTGTGTGTGTGTGTGTGTGTGTGTGTGTGTGTGTGTGTGTGTGTGTGTGTGTGTGTACCTCAGCCAGCAGCACTATCCTCTTGCCATCTGGCCAGATGACGTGGTCCACCTGAGAGCGCACCCTCTCCCAGGTCAGCTCAGGGGTCCGCAGGCTCGCCTACAGGGTGAGCACAACAACACATCATCAACAATTATTTGCTTTTGGAATTGTTTTTTTTCCCCCCTTCTTCTTCTACTACTTCTCCTTTCTGTTCGGATGAACTGTCAGCCATCGTTTCATTGCGGGCTAAAAATTGACTAAGTAGGCTCCGTCTTTTCCAGTGCTGAAGTACTTTGAGAAACGAGTCACAACTTCCTCTCATGTCTGAACAACTTCCTTCATCCAACACTCATTCCGAGTACCGTTTTCCATTCCTCTGGTATTTTTTCTATTCTGAGCATTTCTGTCTGACTGTTTCATGTGAAAGGAAAAACAGTCAGAGCACCACAACCCTGTTCTTTGTTCCTTAGTATCACCTGCCCTTCATTTATGTGATTTTGTTGTATTTCAATGCTGCACTCACTCTACGAGGACATATGTTAAAAGCCTATAATATTAATATAATTCAACCGGTTTGTTAGTCACCAAACAGCTGCATCATAACTTTCATTAAGGTGAAATATGTCAATAGTTAAAACTGCTCATCTGTATGTTGTGAGGCTACTAGCCTAATTCTGACCACTATAGCCACTTATGGATCAGGCCTTTCACTACAACCCCACTGACTCAATCTAAGCTGTCAGTTACCATGACAACATTGAACAATCACTGCCCAAGGTCAGGCTTTAGAGACAGGAGGATGTTCAACATGCTGTCAATCATGTTAATGGGAGCTGCAGCGCTGTTGTTTCTGTAGTGACAAGTTACGCTTTGATCTCGTACCATCTGTCTTTTCTCGTTGACCTCAAACATCGGAACTCGTACTATGTAATATATTATTGTAAGTGTCAGTCAACAGTTTAAATAAATACAAATGTGTAGTAACTGACCACATCGATCTCAGTGTTGGAGTGTCCCATGTTGCAGACGATGCAGCCGTTCTTCATGCGGTCCAGGTACTCTCTCACCACCACGTTCTTATTGCCTGATGGAGGGAGGGGGGAAAAAAGGGAAAAGGCAAAATTCTGTCATGGTTGAAGCTATATTTGTTAATGCCAGCAGGCAGACAATGAAGCCAGTTCACAGCCAGAACTGTGAGCCGACTCTGTATCCATGTATCCATTGATTGCATTTGTTTTATACGTACGTCATTGTTTCTGTAATTTATGTAAAGCTGCGGTAACACTGCACCTTCCCTTCGGCATTAAAAACTCTCTCTCTCTATTCCTGGAAAACTAATGGAGTCTTTATTGATTTAATTATTTCTACCCTCCGTACTTAGGCTTAGTTAATTAAGTCTGAAAATGTAATCTAGTTTGATTTCATGTGTCTCTAAAAGGACGTTTTCTATCCGTTTTGATTCAAACTAAAGGAATTCTATGACAAACCACACTACCACCTCTTTATCTGCCTATATATGGACCTCCAGGCACATGTTTGCACACAGGAAACATGCTAATGATGCGGATCTGGCTTTAAAAATGTGTATAAAAAATGTAATGCTAATGTTATTGACAATACTAATCCACATCAAACATGACATGACAATTTTACCATTATATGATTTATCTAATCGCAGAATAATAGTGGGACTTCAACATTATAGTAATGATTATCAATCAACTGATAATTGTTTCCACTACAGCAGGATTATTCATTTACTAAGGGTCCAACGAGCTCTCTCCGTTTTATTGCAAAGGCTCTAATGAGTTGACCTTAATAGAGTTAACAGCACATGACCTTATTACAGCAAATGCTTGTCCGGTTGTATTTATTTCACCGCACTTTGTAACTTTATTAGCAAAATTTTGCACACAAACCATGTGTCTACCTCATTAGTCTCTTATTATCTTTCCCTGATCAACTACGTTTTCACCCTAAAGCCAGGCCACAGCTTCAGGCCTGCCAGCAGCCTGAGGTAATGAAGCAGAGAGACAAGTAATTCTCTGCTCCAAATAAGTGTTCGGGACAAGTCCCTGGCTGCTGAGCTGAGAACTTGTTCTGCTGCGGACTGATGACAATGACTGAATATATCTGTCCAGCCCCCCTGAACCAACAGTGACAGAATAGTACAACTCAGTGTTTTATGTCTCGCACCTTCCTAATGCACATAATCAAAGTTGGTATTCTCCGTTTATTAACAGAATTTATTTCTGCACTGTTGATTGTGGACTATGTCCCAACACAGAAGCCAACAGGATAAATCCCTGTACAGCTGCGGTGAGGCAATTAGTCAGCAATCCAAAGGTTACACTGCGGAGACAAAGACTGGAGGCTGAACCAAACCTGTGCAGGTGATGACGATGTCCACTTGTCTGATGACTTCATTCAGCTTCACCAGCCTGAAGCCGTCCATGCTGCCATCCGGAGAAGAGACAATAAAGACACGTTAGACTAATGCATTGGCGACTCCAGCGGTGAGATAAGAGGAAGAAACTAGATAAGCGGAGTCTCACCAGGCCTGCAAGGCACAGATAGGGTCGATCTCTGTGACGTAGACGATGGAGCCCATTGCTTTCAGGGCAGCACAGCAGCCTTTTCCAACCTGAGGAAGACGAGGGTGGGATGTTAACACACAGTACGATAAACACATCTCAGTAATCAAATGAGACAGCATAACATCATGTCACATGCTGAAACCGTCAAGGCTCGTGTTGTGTAGGTCAGTGGATAGAGAGTAGAGCTCTTTGTGGGTTGAAAATTGAGTCTCGAGTCTGTGTCAGATCTGTTCCAACGAATAAAACCTCTGGTAAAGCAAGTCACACTGCCGACCGTTGGACTTTGATTTAAACGAATCCATCCTAACAACGTATGGTTTTTATCTATTGTTGTGTGAGGCGTCCATGAAATTTGCCACAACAATTCAACTACAAGTGGTTTCTGGTTTTAAATGCTTATTTATTTGAACATTTATACATATAGACCAGGACCAGGGAGAGGACAGCAAACTATGCTCCCTGGTAGAGGTACAAATAATCTAAAGCTGCACTGATTAGTTGATTAATCAAGATGTCAAGCAACGGAAACCTAATCGGCAGCTAATCAGTTAATTGTTTGTCGTTTTCCACCTAAAAATTCCAAACATTCCCTCGTCACCACTTCTCCTTTGTTAGACTCTTGTTCTTCCTTTGCATTATGTGACAGTAAACTGAGTATCTTTGGATTTTGGAGGATTAGTCCAACAATATAAGCAATATGATGACATCATTAGACCCTCAGGAAATTATGTTGGATATTTTTCACAGTTTTTATTTTATAAACCAAACAATTAAAATCGAGAAAATAATTAGCAGATTGATGAATAATAAAAAAAATAATAGTTAGCTGCAGGCCTGAAAGAGAAGCTGTCAACAAGCAGCTCTATAGTGAACTGTTCTGTATTAATAAAGTTCAAGACAAACTTTTGAATCCTAATTTGCAAAATTCTTTGCCCCCAAGTGCTTTCAAAGAAACGCAGTGATCTAACTTGTCTTCTAACCTAAATCTACAGCTAGATATTGGATTTATTATAGCGTTAATGTGATTTCACTTGATATATTTTATGGAGAAGACATGGCTCTAACATTTTAGCACTCTGTATGAGCTTGTGTGAGTGTGTGAGCCTTACCTCTCCATATCCACACACCACCACCTGTTTGCCTCCAAACATGACATCAGTGGTTCTCTTCAGGCTAAGGACACAAACACAATTACCTCACTGACAGCCTGATATTTATTCAGACTGTGTGGAACAGAGAGGAGGAGGCGGGCGTAATTGCCCTGAAACAATAAATGTAAAAACAACTATCATGTTGTGTTACTGAGGCTAAACATGAGCAGGAGAATGTTTCATACCCGTCCAAGATGGACTCCCTGCAGCAGTAGAGGTTGTCAAACTTCTGCTTGGTCACAGAGTCATTCACGTTCATGGCTGGGACACACAGCTTCCCTGCCTTAGACAGCTGGTACAACCTACACATAAAAAAAAACACACACACACACACAGAAAAAATAAAATATTAAAAACAGACAGAGAAAATTTGTGACAGAACATTATATCAATATATGTAATTGATTTTCTTCCCGTTTAGTTATGATAATGCAGAGTGATACACTCTGAGAATTATTTATTTCAGTTTTAAGAGGGGATTGGTTTTTATCTTTTATTTATCATATATTTCTATTTATTTTCATTTATTATAATGATTATACTGATTATTTGCAAAAATTCTATTTGATTAACACAAGGTTTCATTACTGAATGCAGCCATGCTGCAGTTGTGTAATCACAGCACGCTGTTCACCACTAGATGGTGATGTTACCACATCAGAAACCGCGTGAGACTGTAAGTATCTCTGTGTGTTAGTGTGTGAAAATGTAGTTGCACAGTCTCTCGTTTAAAATATTACAATGCTCCGCAGATTAAATCACTTGTCATTAAGACTTCTACAACAAGCATTACTCGGGAGAATGTAAGTAAAGTTTATTTCTAAAGCACATTTAAACACAGCTTAAGCTGACCAAAGTGCTGTACAAAAGGATATTAATATATAAAGTAAAAGAAATAACACAACGACAACAATAAACAACCAGGTACAAACACCGAATTCTAGACATCACAACAGATAGAAGATTAGTGAGTCAAAAAGGTAACACATCTAACTTATAATGGCAACTTCCTCCACAATCGTGTTTTAGTCGTGACTGTGGGACTCACAAGAAAGATTTGTCTTAAACTGGATAATAAAATGAAGAGGGAGCCAATGAAGAGAGGCTTTGACTGAGGTCATACGCTCACACTGTTTAGTACCAGTCAACATCCCTGAAGTTGCATTTTGAACCATCTGCAGGTGAGTTAAGAAGACTGGGGAAGGCCCAAATACAGGCAATTACAATAGTCCTCTTGTGATGCAGGACATTTTCATCACGTAGGTTTGTTGCCAAGTCCTACCTGTGCACACCGGTGACGCTCTCCTCCACAATGCCCTTGATCTTCTTGAACATGTTGGGGTATTTTTTATAAATCCAGTGAGTCAGGTCTCCACCATCATCCAAGATCTGACAGGCAATCAGAGACAGGGACAAGCAGAGTGGAAGAGAGAGAGAAAAATTGAGGGGGGATATTGGGCAAGAAAAAAAAAAGAAAAAAAAGACAGACAGAAGCTGCTTAAACTTTGAAACTAAATCTCAAACTTGTGGATAAGCTCCATGGTGAAATAACAGTTTTCACTTCAAGTGTTTTTTCTTCACCAGAAAATCTATTCCATAAAAATATTTAAATAACTTATTTCTGTGGTTCAGTCCTGAATGTCTAAGAAATGTAATGGTTCAAAAAATAAAAAGGCACCATTTTTAAACATTAATCTCAACCATGTGCTGTGCCCGATCCCGATTCTACCCACAGCGGCAGATAACCGAGGCTTGTGTAAAATCTAGTTATCTGGTAAAAAATAGCAGATGTATGCACCAATGAGAACTGTAGGATGGAGAAAAAAAAAAGAAAAGAAATGCTTCAGTAGGCTTTATTCAGAATGTAGGTGTGCTACCATGTTGGGTTGCCAGCCCTCCACGTTGACACAGCGATCGATGCACCACCAGAAGTCGTCCTCCGACTCGCCCTTCCATGCAAATACGCTGAAACCTAGAAAGACAAAGGAAGCCTTTCATGTACAGAGGCCGGTAAATGTGAAACAAAGAGATCAGGCCCGAGGTGGGGAGCGAGTGAAAGAGAGTTTGAATATTTTAGAGACAGGAGAGAGGAAAAGGGCAGGTGTCACAAACAGGAAGTCCCAGGACTCTCACCTCCCTCTGCCAGAGCAGCTGCCACTTCATTCTGGGTGGAGTAGATGTTGCAGGCTGCCCATCTGCACTGAGCCCCCAAAGCTGACAGAGTCTCCATCAGTACCTGAGGAAAGAGAAGAAGAGAAGAGAGGGGAGGGTTAAGATTGACGTTTTGTTGCAGCTGCTGACGTGACACTGTATTAACACTGTTTAGGGTGTGAAGGAGTGTGTGTTTTGTGTATTCCTACTCACAGCAGTCTGGGCAGTGATGTGGGTGCAGCCCACCACCTTGGCACCGGCAAGGGGTTTCTCCCCCTGGGCTCGCTTCCTCAGGGCCATCAGGGCTGGCATCTCTGAAGGAGGAGAAGGAACACGAACACACACACACACACACACACACACACACACACACACACACGCACACACACATCAGCTGGATGGGAAGGAATTCCCATCATTTAATCCTTCTAATACTTCATCGCTAATCCATCGACTCAACCAACTGAAGGAGTTACTGATGCTAAGGATATATAGTGTGTGTGTGTGTGTGTGTGTGTGTGTGTGTGTGTGTGTGTGTGTGTGTGTGTGTAGCCTGCAGGGTTCAGCTGAGGCTCTCTTGTACGTTCTGTGAAGTAATTAGGGAAAGATGTGAATAACACGTTGGGTTTTAAATGGTGTTCACACTTGTAGCAGGGGACATATGGCCACCCATCAGTGTAGAAAGCAGCCCCCCCCCCCCACAAACACACGCACACACACATCAAAAACACCCTTAATGCGTAGTATGCCCTCATGCTTGTGTTACTGTAACTGTTATGTGACCTTCCACTGACTGCTCGCATCAGTCACACCGTCTTGGAAATCAAGCTACCGACTTGCGCCCAACCCTGAACCACTATCCCTTTTGTTTTCACCTTTTTAAGGCGAGCACTGACGGGTCTTCTGCTTTACCTTGCTCTGCGATCTCGATCTCTCTGCGGCCGAAGTCGGCCTGTTTGATGTTTTTGATGCAGAAGTCTCCGTTGCCCTTGGAGTTCTTCTGCTGTTTGTCCCGAGGAGACGTCTCATCGTCAGAGCTGTCCGTGTATGACGCCGCTAAAAAAAAACAAAAAAAAAAACATACACTTACCCATATTGCAACAGGGCCCATTTGGTGGTATTGTACCTTATTTATGTGTGTGTGTGTGTGTGTGTGCGTGTGTGTGTGTGTGACATATTGACAATACCATTGACTCTGTCTGTGTGTTTTTTTTTTTTTTTGTTTTTTTTTTTTATATAAGGCTTCAACTGATGATTGTTTTCATTACTCATTTATCATTTTATCTGTAAAATGTTGGAAAAAAATAGTGAAAAGGCCTTTAAAATTTCTCCTACAGCCCAAGGTGATCGCTACAAATGTCTTCTGTTTTCTTGGACCAAAAAATATTTTACTGTCATGTGCACGAAAAGAAAGAATCAAATCCTCACATCTGCGAGACTGGAACCAGCAAATATTTAGCATTTGCTTCAGAACATACGACTAAAATGACTGTTTGATTATCAAATTAGCTGCAAATTATGTTGATCAAATAATGTTTTAATAAACTAATCGTGGCAGCTCTAATGTTTTTCAAACAGGATTTTGTTCTTCACTGGATTCTTTTATTCAGAGCGTCTAGGTTTCAAAGTGCAGAATAAACAGTGTGCCTTTGGTTTCTACATTGTGAACAAAGCCTGTACTTTCCCAAACCCTGCAATTTGACTTTGGTCGGCCACAGATTCTGCACAGCACCGAGTTCAATTGAGTATAAAGCTACCATTTCCTCTTCCTTTCCAGTATAGGAACAACAACAGAAAGTAAACACAGTCCAAATGTGTCATAACACTTGCACATAAAAGAGAAAGGTGTCACAGTATCAGTTCACCTCTGAGACATAAACAGTAGAGCCCACAGCACACAGCAGCGCACTCAGGAGGGATATGTCTCAGTGTCTGGCATGAGCACCGTGTGCTTGCTACACAGGTGTGGTCCTGTAAATGATGCCAGTATCACTCCTACCACCCTCCCAAAATGAACATGGACCAGCACCAGATAAGACTGGGTGCCTTGCCAGCACCGTAACAATACTGAAGTTAAAGAACATGCTGTACTCTGCCAGGAGGGAAAAGGAAAAAAAATGTAGGGTAATAATCCTTGAGTTTACTGTTAGGAAAAATCTTCTTTAGAAACCTCCCATCCATACTGACAGGAGCAGAGGCTGGGGGATAATGTGAGCTGAGGAGATATTAGGGGTCACGAGGACAGACACACTGATACTTGCAAAGGATCCTGGGACAGAGGCGAAGATAGTGTGCAGGTAAAGGAAAAGTCTTTCGACTTACCTTTTCCTTGGGAAACTTACAAATTCAAAACCATGAGGATTCATTATCTTTTTCAACTGCAGACGGGTTTTATATAACTCTGAAAGATAAATTATAATTAACCGAGACACTGACTTAAATTTAATATGCTCTCTCAGTTTGATACTTTAAAAGGTTATTACAGATTTTCACTTTTTATATTTCAATATGGCAGCGACTTCTTTCACATCAATCCACAAATCTATACAGCTACACTTTAAAAAAACATGTCAAATTACAGTGTCAAACTACATTAAATGTTGCTTTTTTCACATTAGAGAAAGATTAATATCAAAACTTCTACAAAATCGATACCAGACTGGTCTTGGAGAAAGCAGTACTAGTGTGCACTCTGTACTGTGGGAACCATCAGAGAAATAAGAAGCACTCTGGTGAGGGAATTATGGGAGAAGACAGGGAGTCAGCAGAGAGGGATGAGAGGAAGAAAAAAAAGAGCATAGATCAGAGAGTTCAAAGGGGGAGACAGTAGAGTTTCACAAGTGTCTGAAAATACTCTTATTATTGACAGTATTGACAACACTTCACTCATATTACAATGGCTGCTGTTAATTGCTCGGCATAAGAAACCAACAGCACAGTCAAAAAAAAGGAGCTTGTCAAACCACTGAGTGAAATAAATGCAGACTAAGTGCTCTCACCACTATCACAATATCTCGGAAAAGAAAAGTCTAGGTCATTATTCTAGTAATGATGTGACAGCCTCCGGCTACAGAGAGAGGTTCTCGGGAAGGGGAGTGATTTAGTTGTGAGCTGCCTGTAGGAGGGAGGTAAATAAGAGCTGAGGTGAAAGTGGAAAAAAAAAAAAAAAAAAAGCAAGAGGAAAGTGAAGAGAGAAGAAGAAGAAAAGAGAATTAGATTTAGTGGCGGGAACTGGAACATTTCCGACTCTCACCTTAGAAAGGGACCCTACATCCAGAGTGCCAGTTTTGATCTTAGAGCTGCAAACCAAATACAGAGCCGAACTAAATGTAAATATTAAACATACGAGATTCAAACAGACTCCTGTTTCTGTGCGGCTAATTAAGACTAATTAAGACAGTAAAACTGTTCAGTTTCCTTCAAATGTAATTATCATAAAGGGAGCAATAGTTTAGAGTATTTTTAGTCCTCTGAAAACCACACAGAAGAGACACACACCCCCCTCAGTATAGTTCATTATATTTTAGGCCTTAGATGATGCTCTTTTTCTTATGTAAGCAGCTGAGGGCCAAGTGTCTTCATTTATAAACAAAACAAGATTACTTCTGGTTGATTTTTCTTCCTGAAAGAAAGAAACACAAGGTCCTTTTCTCAGCTGACCCTGATTGGTGTCGCTTGCCTAGGAAAACATTTAGCCGACTGCAAATGTGCCGGTGGGAAGTCACAGGACCCAAACGTTTCATCTCTTCTCAGTTTGAGTTCAGAGTACTGAGCAGACTTTTTTTTTTTTTTTTAGCACCCTTGACCTGAGGGACCCATTACAGCTATCCAATAATACTGACTGAAAGTCCATTTGTCCATCTGCCATCCATCTGCCTGTCCATCATTCTCTGCCACTAGTAGCGACACTGTCCAAGCAGCATCTCGCACAGATTAATTCATCATGTTAATGGTGTCACTAGAAGACCTACGGCCTGCGAATGACCCTGACGCACAGCAGGAAGTCAGAGTCTCCTAAAATGAAGCAGATTCAGCAACATATAGACGTTTAGGAAAACTCTGCTGCTTTTAGAGAGTTGATGAAAAGACAAGAGGGCAAGAGGTTAAGAGGAGAGCAGGGGAGAGCGGAAAACAAGAACTGGATTATTCATATCAGATTGTGCTCTTGCATTTTGATGCAGTCCTTCTATTCCTCAATAACAAAGTCAAAGCTTTTCTCTGGTCTTTGCCTTCATGTTAAAGGAATAGTTTGACTTTTTTTGTGAGTGGTGACTCCACTGGTTGCCTAGCAGCCTCACAATTTTAGTATAGATTAAAAGATTAGTTCACAGTTTGTCAATTCTGTCTTGAAACAAAAGGCAGAATCATGGTTTTGCTTGCTGGAATCATTCCTCCTGTTCATACTGGCCATTAAAAGAACCCCTTATTAATGGGCTTTCAATGTAAGTGATGGGGGGACCTAAACTGCTGAAGCCTCATATTAGCTTCAGATCAACTTTTCAAATATATTTTGGCAGAAAACGAAGACTGTGGATTTTTTTCCCCAAACATTTAGACTGAAAGTGCATTAGGAAGGGATCTTTTAATAACCAGTATGAAAATTTCCTTTAGGCAAACAAGCTATACAGGTGCTTGTAGTCCGATTTAGTTACCTTTTGACCAAACCGGGCTAGCTGTTTCCCTCATAATCAGTCTTTAAGCTAAGCTAAGCTAACCATCCCCTGGCTGTAGCTTTATATCTAACCAACAATGATGAGAATTGTTCAGGCTAACTCTTGGCAAAAAAAGCGATGAAGTATCTTTACCAAAATGCTGAACTATGCCTTAACGGCAGTGCTGTAGGTTCCCTGGAGCTGCTTCACTGGCCAAGACAGAGAATATATTGACTATCTCTCTGGTGATAAACACATTTGAGCAGGTTCTCTTAGAGACACTTTGGTCAAATGAAGGTGCCCCATTTTTCTGTGTGAGCAACTGACAGCTCTTGAACATCACTTGGCTTGTAAACCTATTTTATTAGCACTAGATAAAGTAAAACAAATCAGTTTTCCTCCGCTACCTTTATCACTATTTCTGCAGCCACTGATACTGGTCACTCCAACACCAACTTTCCTACACTTACCAATTCACAAACCCTACATGTTGCACACAAACTAGATTTCCATTGCTGATAAAAAAAAAAAAAAAAAAAGTTTCTTGGCAGAACAACCAACCCTAACCCTCTTTTTTCATTCATCTTTCCCAACTTTCTTGTTTCTCACCACTACAGTCATGAATGGGGATTTGGGTCCCACATGCCATTCAGTTTCAACCACACCCAACACTTCCCAGCTCTCTAGTCTCACCTCTCCCCCCTCTCCAGTAGACCACCAGCAGCTAATCCTCTAACACAGAGCCCACAGTTTCACATGAACCGCAGTGTCAGAGTGTGAGAGCGAGAGCGAGAGCGAGAGCCAGGGAGATGAGGTGGTTAGGCGAGGAGACAGGCGAGGTCGGACAACTGTTCGTCCCACTGGAAAACTTTCTATATCTTTGGTGTCGTAAAAAAAAATTGTAATGGAAACATGTCATATCCACTAGTAGCATAACTGATAAGTAGCAGGCTACAAGGATTGAGCATTAGGGAGAGAGAAAGAGTGTGTATGTGTGTGTGTGTGTGTGTGTGTGTGTGTGTGTGTTCACCTGAGCTGTAGCTGTCTGTGGAGGACTGGGAGATGGAGCGGGAGAGAGAGCGCCGGCCAATCTTGGAGGGACGCTTGTTGAATTCCTGTTTCTGGTCGGCAAACTGGATCTGCGTACGGAGAGAGGGAGAGAGCGGGGAGGGATCAGATCTCCATTCACAATTTTTACGACTTCTGCTTCATTACGCTACTCCTGCTCGTTAGAATCAACTTTCCAGTTGGCCCAACTAAGGTGCCACTTGACCACCGGGCTACAGCACACAAACTGTGGTAATACATTAACTAGGGTTATGATGACACTTGAAATTCAGTGGCCAACCATTCAAATCAAACTTTGACTTCATCTTTAATCTTTTCCAGTCAGGTCATGCTGTCTCTTTGTAAAGGAAAATCCACCAGCTTTGAATTCACCCTGACTTGAAATCTGAAAAGATAAAAAAGGAGGCGACAGTGAGGCCATTATCACCCAGGCACAAGGCCACACGAGGTGCAACAGTTCATCCTGGTTCTGCAAAGTGGGTGGGAGGTGTCTGGCTATTCACTGCAGTCAGGCCACTAAACTGACCATGATTCTATCAGTCTGTTAGTCTTTCCGCTGTTACATCAGAGTGGATAGCCTGGTGCATCATAATTCATGTACTGATTATATCGCAGAGTATGAATGGATGACTTATTTCTGCAATAAAACTTCGCAACGAGAACAAAACATGCTAGTGGGGGTGTGTGCATTCAAGCATGACAACATGAAATTGGTGGGGTTTTTTTCTCTCTCTTTCTTCATGTCTCCAAGAAGAGAAAAAGTTGTTGAATAACACCCACGAATCAGCAAATCATTTCTGTCAAAACACGGACCGAGAGGTGAGATTCTGCCAATGCCACAGTCTGACGGAGGTGGTGTGACGCTTTACAGATTTGATTGAAAAGCAGCCAGACGAGCGTCGTTCACAAAATGCTGTCCTTGGGCACAAAACAAGCAAAAATGTTCTCAGGGTTTTTTTTTTTTTTCCCCCAATCAAAGAGAAATTACAAAACAATTCTGACATTCAGACACATCCTTGTGTGTGTATGCTATGCTCGTCAAATACCAAGAGGTTATGTTTGCGTGGGTGTCTTCATTCACTCATTTGTTCTCACAATGAGCGAGGCACAGGGTAAATGACACAGGGCAGAGCTGCTGTCCAATGAAAAAAGACTGAGTCATCATAACCAGAGGTTGTAGATGTAAACATGAAATAAAACAGCACTAAAAACCTTTTTCTCATTTCTGTATCTTGCATTTTCTCTCGGTTCTGTGATCTCCATTTCTTAAGTAGCATCTATAGTGATAATGCAGACTGGACCATCAACACTTCTCCAGACATGTAGACGTCCATAATAACGTAACAACTCTTAGAGAACAAGACAATCAACCATATTACACAGAAACGAGCAAGGAAGCAACTTCCTGATATCCAGTGCAAACACATTTACCATTAGCTTTGTTTTTCCCCAATATCAAGTGACTGCTGGGTGTCGATGTCTCAACTTCCAGCTGCTGATGTCACAGCATCAGCTTCCTACAACCCGCCATAAAGCCACATTAATCCGGCCTGTCCTTTCTCCTTACCTTTTTCACACAGGGCTCACTGCCTTCCCCATCCTTTTTCTTCTTCAGCATTGCCACATGTGTGTCTGTGTGTGTGGGTGTGTGACTGGAGGCCTTCTGCACTGAGGAGACCTCGTCTTTCAAGGTCTGATCATTTCATAGGCTGCACCTCTTCTCCCTCTGCCTCTTTTTGGCCTCCGCTTTTCTTGCAATCCAGCCCAAACTGGTCTGACCATGCGCCGGCAAACACAATGCAATGAATTGTTTCCCCTTTCCTTTCTTTTCTTTTTTTAAACCCTCCCTCTCTCTCCTACCTCTGTATTCTTGTTTAATTGTTGATTGTTCGAGAGATTGGGGTCCCTGAATTGCTGGTATCAAAACCGAAGCTAAGCTTTACCCCAGCTGACCCGAGACGGTTATGAAGTGTAGCATTAGGACTGGTTATTGAAAAAGGGATGAAACTATCGAAAAGGTATCAATCATCTTCTTTGAGTTTATTTATCATTACAAAAAACCCCAACATGTCTCTTTATAAGAACAAGCAACGAAAGAAAGATCAGTACTCAAATTAAAAATACAAGATGATCCACAGCCCCTCAGAGGATGCATGGAGGTCCTCAAGATGTCTAAATATGTTGCTCATAAACTAGGGTGGGACTCTATGGAGTTGTTAAAATGTATCCCCAAACTGGAGCACAAAAGAACTACTCATTATCTAAACAACTTCCTATCCAAAAGGGTCATTGCCAAGGATAAAAAAAACATGACAGTAAAAACTTATTGAATCAGCCATAATATACAAATGGGAGTGGTGAACCTAAAAACCCTCAAAAACAAAAGGATGCAAAAAGGCAGCATCATATCACTACACCAAAGCTGTGAACTGAAATATAGAACCACAAATTCATGTTTCTGAAAGCTGATGCTCCACGGACGAGCAGTTTTCAAACAAAACTATGGAGAAGCCGTTCATCATTTAGGAGTTCAGCTGATTGTGCCAATAACCATGACTCCTAAAACAGGCCATAATAGGTCTATTGGTCTCTTCAGGCTTATCGGATGGAGGTTAGATGACGGGCTTTAGGAGCTCAGAGTTGCACTAAAGGATTGAGGGTCATTTTGGGAGCTCAGGAGGAGGGGATCGAGGGGCTTACGAGATGTTTTTTGGGACAAGATTACCACAGGTTAGCTCGGGCCTCAGGACAGGGGGTTCTGCCAGAGAGAATGACACAGTGGTTTGTTTATTTCGGCGAGAGCAAGTGAGTGAAGGACAGAAAGGTTACCCATTCTGTTCTCACCCTTTAGTGTACCGCTCTGTACACACGACATACTAATTGAGGCATATTATTCTCACGACAACAGCAGATTAGATTTTTATTCACCAGCAACAGATTCTCCAGAATGATCATTACATATTAAACCATACATGAGCAGGGAGGCAGACTGACATATTAACCATCTTTTTACTTATAACAGGCCAAAATTTCTTTCATAATTCTGTATTTCAACCTGCTGCAATGAGACATTACGATTAAATTTAAGGCTGTGAATGAGCTGATGCTCTTATCCACAGCCGCTTACAATAACCCGCCAGCCAAATGCTGATCAGCTGTTCCTGCAGCTTACTACCCTGCACCGAGTTGTATTTATGAATGAAGTCTGTGGTACTTTCAGCGGTCACATTCTGATATGATTTAAACAAAAAAAATATATTTAATAGACATGCATTAATCAAAACCTGGATGACCTAAGGTAACACAGTAAACACGACATCATAGTAATGTGACATGACCGAGGCTCAGAGAGACTCATTACTGTAGGTCTTACGTAAGAGAGGCACTGAGAACAGCTAATAGAGACAGCAACACTCTGCTCTCGCACTAGTAGATTAGAGTGCTACCTAGGAATAGGTTTGCATGACTCAGCATCACATAAAAAGGTCACTTTCCAAAACACCGGCCGGCAGTTATTTTGGAAAAATCATTATGCAGAGTTCATTCAATCTGTTTAAAATTTAGAAAGCAGCTCTACAGTAATGTCATTATGTCGACCAAGAACCTCTTGATATTTACAGCATAACACAATCTATTTTAAGTTGAAAACAAGAGACAAAAAAAGATCCACTGGACTGATATCGGCAGCTCATTTTCCTGTCAATCAAACTTTTGTCTCTCTTTTTACCTGTGACATTTACCATCTTCCACCTTGTCTCCATCTCTCTAACCTTGCACTGCACACCTTTACATTATGGATGGTGACTGATTGGAGGGCTAATGACATGTGAATAATAAATGTTAACTCAATACTGGGACACATGGGAGCTCCTCCAGGGCTGCTACCTTCCAGTCGTGTGTGTGTGTGTGTGCTAAATACAGTTGCAGGGAACGGGGAGAAGGAGTTGATCAAACTCAATTCTGAAGTTTAAAAAAAAAAAAAAAAAAAAAAAAAAATACAGCAGTGGCCAGGCTCCACCAGTAACACCACAGAACAGAGGATACGTGGGATACTGGGAGTGAAGCCAGGTGTAGGCAGTCCCTCTGAGGTGCACTGTGTTGGTTAGGAAGGATGACTTTGACAGCATGTTCACACTTGTTTTTACTGATACAGATGCATACAGATGCAAGTAATAGCTCCTAATGTTGCTAAGCAACTATTACAAAGCTGTTTCAAGCACGGTGCTACACACCAGCACTCAAGTAACTAACAAAAAAAAACAAACTTATATTTAGATGAAAAAGTTCCAAACAATGAAATGTCTATAAGAAAATGTCTGACAAGTCCACAAAGGAACTGATCAGCTTAATTATATAAAAACAGAAGTTGAATAAGTTCACACCATCAAAGTGGGACATGAAACGGTCTTTCGATAACAACAGGAGTCAAGTCTTCAATTATATCCATGGGCTATTTCATTTCAGTAAGGATCATGATACTATCAGGCTATTTTTATGTTAGCTAAAGGACACACATAAAAAATGACTTTTCCATTTGTGTGTTGGGAGTCGGGCGGAGGTGGAGGCCTAAGATTAACCTGTAATAATTTATATCCTTTTAAGTCAGACTAGAAGCTCTAAAGCAGAACAGAGCATGTCTGACCTGAGAGATCATACACACTGGCTTTGTGTCCTATCTGCTTATTTAACTCAGTAATGATACAGTAATAATCTAAATACCACTATAAATGCCAGAAAATGTAAATCCTGCCCCCTGCCATCCAGCATGCACTCTGCTTCCCCTCTGAAGGGCATGGTATGGTTTGTTTTAACTGGTAAGACACGATGTTTCAGGACAGGGTGGATCCCGGGTTAAAGACAATCAACAAGCTAGCTGAACGCCATGGGATACGCAGCACAGGGCAGAGAGAACGTCTGAGCCGGCCTGGTGAGAAAACAGAAACCCCTCTGGGTGAGAGAAGGAAAACAAGCACAGATGTACTGTAGCAGCAAATAGGATGGGAAGGGATACTGTATGTTTTCCTCACTGAAGCAGCTCATCCTGCTGATCTGGCATCTTCCTTTACTAACA